ACAATAGCGTTCTGCAATCTGCGCTGACAAAAAGCATTATGACTCCAATGTTAGATTCGCTTAAGAGTTTTCTTTCGACAAACGATAATATTATATTCTTGACCGTACGCCATTAACATATATTTTATTACCGCACGGTTGACGGATCAATAGATGTTTGGACACCCAGCGGTCAAGCATATGGTGGGTTTAGACACCTAAGCTTAATCCGGCTACGTGTAATTGTACAACCTGTCGACTTCACGACTGGCTGTATCGAAACTATAACGGGTTGTCGAACCCGAAGACAATTTTTATTATTATTACTTTGAATTTTTTAAACGGGAGGCTACCAGCGTACAACGACACATTGTGTAATGTATCGTGTATGTAGCCGGTTACGCACCACGCTTGGTGGGCGCGCGTGCTTATCACGATTGTTTCCCCGTTAGTTTTGGACACGTCCTCCAAGGGGTGTGGGTATTATTGGTCTCCACGCGGGCACACACATAATATCATTATTGTAGTATTGTATGGTCGAAAATGGAATAACTAGTTGACCGATAAGAAGCGGTGTATTGCGATGGAGCACGTGTAAAAATGCGTCGTGTACACGAGACGATCACGGACGCGGTGTGCCCTAATTAGGATACTTGGGTAAATACGTGTGTCCTCCGCCGTTGACCCCAGGAGATTTTTTTTTATTATTTTCAAATCATTACTACCGTACGGTAGGGCCGATTTGATTTATTACCCTTCTTAAAAATTGGACACACTGAGTGAAATGTCCAAGAATGCAGACCATCATCAGCCGTATGTATTACCGTCCAGGAATGTCCGCGTCAGTCGGCCTGGCTATGAGAGGTGATGGATCCGTTGACGTGTGACTGGTCCGTCTGGCTATTGTGTGTCCGATAAGACAAATCATAATGAAGAAAAGTTTTCATCTTGTTTGTACAAGAAGGAAACGTCATGGCAGCACCACCGCAGCATTAGTCTAGTCGTCAAGTCGTATAGCATCGTTTGCGCGTGGGAAGCAAATAAATTTATAAGTCATATAACGAACAAAAATGAACGAATATAATCGCCCTTTATTCGTATCTCTTATTGTGTTGCCGTTGCTCATAGAAGTTACCTATTTTTAAAATAAAAAGTTAAAACATATTTTGGTGGCAGCTGTCAGATTAATTGAAAAATTGAACACCACCGAAAATTCAGTTGTACCATTTTATGTTTGTTCGTATACATTAAAATATTCTCGACTTGACACCTGAATATATATTATAACATAATGACAGAGGCGATATTCTGTCTCCCGGCAAACAGAGAACAACAATTTAATTGAATATCAAATTATATAAACTCAAGAACTCTTGTTTGTCCTACCTTTTAGGGAGTTTCGAACAAAGGCCACCGTCTCGCTTAAAAATTCTCAATTGTATCTAATAACGTTATGGGTGATCATTAATGTTACTTTGTTTATTATAATTTGTAAAGATCACCGGTTGATTGAAAAATAATTTAATTAATGGCTTTTGCTTGCCACCCACATGAGGGTTAATAATTTTGATGTCAGACGCGTGCTGCCCCATTCGGTCGTGCTGGAAATACGCTATACGCTGTGATGATAAGGGGATGGAAATGTTCAATTATCTTGAGTCTAAATAGATCATTGAAGAAGGCGCGCCTTTGAGTTGTCTGACAAAGTCGTGATTTATCCGTTTCAACTAGTCGTATATCAGTGAAAGGTTGCATTTATGAACATACCTGTATATATAATATTATATCGAAGTATAAGAATTCTTTAAAGTTTAGAAAACAGCACGCAATATTGGTCACCGATAAGAAAAAAGAATGTACCGACGCCCATTTTCAGATTTATTGTTTTTTTTTTATTATTATTATCGTGTAGACGTTTTTTTTTTTTTTGTGCGAATTAGATTAGATAAAAAATAATAAACGAGCTGCGCTGGCGCCAATGGGCAGAAAACTTGAGAAAATCTAGATCCCTCTTTCGAGGAATTCGGAAATTAATCTAAAAGGCGCGTTGGCTGTAAACAGGATATTCTGAGGACTGAAGAGGTCTGGCTGTAAACAAATCTCACTCCTATAACGAAGAGTCTAAACTTTCTAAACGACTTGTTCTGGATAAGACGACGTAGATTGTCATTTATTTAGGGTATTGCGCTTTTGAGTCGAGCAGATTACATTTGTTTTATTTTTATTTCCTTATTCGACATCTATAGTTAGACAAACACACTTTGTAACATAAAACATATACTAAATTTACGGTGTGGGTGAAATACACTATCACCACCGCCTACCACAAGGTCCTTTAGAAGGCTTCGTGCGCCTTGTTACACTATACAAAATACTAAACTATGATCAAAATGTTTTATATTGTTACAAGTTCATGAATCGCGCGATTTAGCTGTTGACAGTAAAAAAATATATATTTCTACCTTTCACCGGCACGGGTGCGTAACCGCGGTAACCGGATACCAAATAGGTATATACAATTTTCACACGATGTAGGTGAGCGTTGAGAAAAATATAGTAGGTATACATAATATATTGCATACGGTGTATTATTATATTCAGCTGTACGGCTATTATTATTAGGTAAAATAAATAATAACCTGTATTATACTGTATTTGCAATTATTTCTGTCTCGGTTAAAAACAATTTAAAAATTGCCTCGATGGGTCAACCTCACGACAGAATACATTATTGTTTGGTGTATTATAAATTAAGTTGTCCTTATTGTACACTATTTTATCACATGTAAAACGTATAGGCTAATAACTCGACGAATTATAATGAATTATGTTAATCGTTTTGCTTATCACAGTGACTTTGAATTGTCCACTTTCGTGATATAAGTAATGACTGAGGTTTTAAGGAAGATAATAAAAACAAATTCAGAACCTTTATTATTCCACAATGCGAGTAAGTAATTAACTTCGAGCATAAAATTATCTCGACTTCTATAGAAACGCCCATTTTGATAGAAAAAAGCTCAACATTTTTCGAAACGTGCTATATAAATCGGTTATTTTGTTCTTAATTTTCGATTTTAGAACCTTTAGATAATGTAAATCCAATAAATAACGAGCGTACGCCCTTGAATCATTTCGTTTAATATTATTATTTATTTATTTATTATTTAACATATGTAGAATAGTACCGCGACACTTACTAGTAGTGAAACATTCCATTATTTTTTGTTCCACTTGCCTACTTAATGAAAAATAATAAACAACACCAAAGTTTATATAACGCGTAAGCCCTATATTATGTATATAAAAAAACCATTCTTGCGTATTTGGCCGATTCCGCGTTCTTAACGGAAAAATATATACCTACCTGTTGTATGATTTCGCAAAATGTATCCCGCAGTAGTCATATTGTATATAACGCCTTAGGATTATTTTATTGGCTATATTATTTTTTTTCCGGGACAAGAAAACGTTTTAATTACAACAGACCTATTGTTATTTTTTTTTCTCCGACCAGTTGACCGAGTTTCCTGATGCGATTGATGCCTCTCTAGCAAACCGGCTTCCGACATTTTCCCCGGGCAACGCTGGCACACACACGTTTTATACCTAAAGCAAACCTACTTCTATCCATTACAGTGTACATAATATATATGTACGACTTTCTCCTATACGTACCACTAGTTTTTTTTTTAAAAAATATCATACAATTTATTTTCTTTGCTCGTACTTCTTCTTAAAAATAATTAATTATCATCATCATTTGTTTTATTCGATTTATACACCAAGTCGATACGGAGCGGCATAAGTCGCCCCAGCATAATGTTCAGCTTCGATTGCCGGATTGGTTATATAATTTTTCAATTGTGCCTATTTAACAACAAAAAAAAAAAACCAATAATTACGCTTAACTCGAAAAACGAAAGCCCAGCCAGACAATAATGTGCATATTGTGCGTGGTTTGCACATAACGTGTCTGTATATTCGGTGTAATGAATTACACGTTAAAAAAAAATGTATATTATTTGATTTTAATCTTATTACTATTATTATTGTTCCCATCCGTATGCACATAAACGATTGCACAACCGCAGCGCATACCTCAGCGTGTGCAGTATAGGTATATTATATATTTGTATGGTTTATTGTTTTTATTATTATTAATGTTTCAAATATACAACAATGTCGTACGCGTGCGGCGTATACAAACCTTAAACAATTATTAACGATATCACGCGTTTATATAATTAATAATATGGTCAATGCAAATTCCAGACACACCGAGATATACCTTTTCCTGTTCGCGAACAAAATCGGTGGTCGCGAAGGTTTCTCCAATAGTTTTATTTTTAACGGGGGAAACAAGTGGGTACCAACCAAAGTTAAAATAATATAACACAGGAAATAAAAAATGCTGTTATTGATAACAGTTTGGCTCATTGTGCATATACTGAAGTAATAATTTTCCATGCTATTAACTGCACTTGTAAACGAAAAATTGGTTATAACTTGTTGCCACTAGCCATTTACCAAACCAACCGTGGTTAAGACACCTTACCGGTTATCATAATATGATAAAACGATTCGTTGCAAATTAGTGGGTTCGTGAACGGTTTTGATGAAGTTATATAGCTAACAAAATATAAACCAGGTACTGAAACAAAAATTCAGCACAGATGCTGATAATTTCAGCACGTTTTTCGTTTAAAATAATAACAAATTTTCAATAATCCAGTTGGCCAAAATATTGATAGCTTTTGGATTTAATGGTTTGATAGTCATCGTTTTAAGTTCTTCGTTTCCATGTATATATCTTTAGCTTAGACAAATTAGTACCATAACTTGAATTACAATTTAGTACCATGTACTCATGGTAAACTCAGTTACCACTAGGTTACCACAACCTACCTCGTTCAAGAAATTTTAATTAATAATACGGATGTGGCCTTGTAAAAAAAATACTTTAGGCTCGACTCGGTGTAATTTATCATGTTACTTACTTTTTGTTTTTTTTGTTTCAGCTATTGTAATGCATTTTGTATTTCTGGCGGCGTTCTTCTGGCTCAACACGATGTGCTTTAATATATGGTGGACGTTTAGGTGAGTGAACATGTATACATATGTATGAATATGTATGATAATACACTATACCATGGTCCTAATGTACTATCGGGTATTCCGCCTTCGGTATATCTGCCTACTTTATAAATGTTTAAAAAAAATGTCGTTTCACGATGTAATCGTTGAATGCCGGTAAAACAATACAATACTCAAAGGCTTGAATCGAAAACTAATGGAATAGCTTATAACGTGTACGTATGAGGAGGTGCTTAAACGGAAATCGGTTGGCCAGAACACTAATTTCACCATCATCGAACGAGCCGTGATAATTTATTTATGTCATACAAAAAGAATACACTGCGTGTAGATAATAAGTATATATTATTATTATATAGATTAATAATATAGTAGCCCGAGGATGTGTCCGGGGGCCTCGTGTATTTTACACTCCCCGTCCATACCTGTGTCTTAATAAAAGTAAAAAAATAAAAGGAATTATTGTAAAAAGACGACGCGCCTCATCGGTGTATAGATCGGTGTATATATTCTATTATTATTATTATTATTATTATGTTCTTCTATACAAACGCTCGCATCCTCGTACATCCCAAGACAATAACATCGGTAATATCGTGTTACGAAAGTGTATTTCCATTGAATTATTCCCACGATAGCGGCGTCACTACATTACACACATACTGTATAATATACATGTACATATTTGACGTGTGTATATAATATAATACCATTCAGTTTTCTCTACAAGCAATCCGCGTAGTAGTTACACTATATATTGTAATATAGTGATCAAATTAACGTAAGACACTAGAAGAATCGTCGAAAAAAATAATTGCGATTTTGTAGTTTTTTTTTGTTATCTATTGTTTTGTTCTTTGTTATTATAAACTTACAAAATTACCAAAAATTTAGCTTTTTTGAATAGTTCCAGGGTTTGGCAGTGTTGTGTTTACTTGCATTCACTACTCAACCTCTTCCAGCTCTCGACTACTGAGTAGCTCGACTTTAATTTAAAACCCTGTAACTCTAAAAATAATAATTTAAAAAAAACTGAATCGACCACTCGAAACTTTCAGTAAAATATTGTTAATGTCAAATATGCTAATCGACCAAATATAAATGGAAGGACAGGGGAAAACGTATCAAGTTCACTTTTTGTCATTTCTAAATAACCGCATTTTAATGTGTATTTCATAGTAATATGTATTGTGTTCTATATTGAACATCAACTATCCAAAATACCTCATCTTTAGAGAAGAACAGTTGTTGTAAATATATTCTATACTTGTAAATTGAACGTAGAAGAATTCAATTATTATAATATCTGGTGAGGTTCAATTTTTAACAATCCCAATGGTGTACAACTTGGCTACTGGTCGTGTAACAATGGCTACTTATTTTCAGAGGAAATGAGCGTCTACGTAAAATTGATCACGCTGTATGTACAGGTTTACTCCAAAACTGTTTGAACGTTGTTGTATTGTTCTTCCCCGGATATCATTCATTAACTTTTGTCAGACATTCCGTCGTATCATTTATGTACACACAATTTTCCTCCTAACCATCGGACAAATTCTCGGTCATCGTGTTATCATTATAATTATATTATGTGTGTGTGTGTGTGTGTGCACTGTGCAACCGCTGAACGACTTAAACCGAATTAAAATTGGTTTTTTTTTTTTTTTTTTATAAAAACGGGGCGTTAACGAAAACAAGGCCAACGCGAGTGTGTTTAAATTTTTTGTAATATCGTTACGGGCGACTCGAAATGGGGAGATAAAAATAAAACAACATAAAATTATTCATCTCTCCAGCTACATTTTCCAACCGTGAAGCTGGAACGTGTACTACGACGATCGTCAATCGTTTATTCCGTATAACTGACGCTGATTAAACGTCGAGTGGAACGTTTGTTGGTTACCTAAAACCTATTGTGTGTGTTCGAGATCTCCCACAAAGCAAATAAAAAAAACAATATTCAACTATTTCTATATTACGTTATATTTTTGTCATAATAACAATAATAATAATAATAATAATATTATGGAAACCAGTTTAGGAGCTACCGTCTTCGGTTATTAGTAGGCTCATTATTATTGTATTATATATGCCCGTGTGTATCTATGCGTGTGCGTGTGTTTTGTACAGTCATGTTCGTGTAGAGATACTGTTATTTAGTTGATTAACTATTTTCAATTATTACAATCGTTGTGCCGGCGATTAATTTATTCGAGAAATTATTTAACTTATATATTCGATAACACGTACGATACGGTTGTACAAAACCGGTTTACTACATATTAATCGGGTCCGCCTATGCCGCCTTCACGGAATTGGGTTTTTTTTTTTTCATGTTCTTCGGGTTCCCATGGTGTAACTGTGGATCATTTGATTTCCGAGGCTGTAATATTACCTACAATATATTGTGTTGATATAAATGTTTTCTAATAGTCTCAACTAATTCCTGCGATTCCCGACATAATTAATTACATCCACTGCCATTCCGTTGGTAACAAGTACAAATTAATTAAAAATATAAAAACTATTTTTTAACCATTAAGTGTGCCCAATTATTGCAGCGACTACCGTCTCAAATCATATAATTGACGACAGCACAACGAATAGTCCAAGATTTATTTAATTATTCCAGAAATTCAAGTATGTTTCGATTTCATTCAAAGTTTCTCATATCTATACGTATCAAATTAACACGGCGGTTATCGTTTCACATTTATACAGCGCTCGTTAGGTAATCGTTAGTGTATGCATGTTTTAATTAAAAAATATATTAGACCGGTTAAAACATAACTTGTGTCGTTTGTAAACGAGTATAGGTTAGGTACGTAGATGTCAGTGATTTTTAAGCGCTGGTGGCTGGCCGTTGTCATAATTGTACAAATACCGCCGACAAAATCAAGTCAATGCGCGGTTGTATTGTAGCAGGATAGTGTGTAATGGCAACTAATACTTTGGATCTATTTTTTTCCAGGGACTTGAGGCCTGCCAACTTGGACAAAGGTCAAGAAGCGTGCAGACTTCGCCTATACCAACTGTACGCGTGGGGCGTGCCCTTGGTGATCGCCACCTTGGCCGCGGTCCTCGATCGCATTCCCCCCGACCAGTACCAGTCGCTCATCAGACCTAAATTCGGCGAACAGCGTTGTTGGTTTGACGGTAAGCACAAAATACTCCTATTAAACGACAATTGGTCGACTGTGGCTACCGCCGGATTGTGTCCTACAAAAGCAATTTGTTGTGTCTGCAACGATCAGTAGAGAGGTACGACTAAGTATTGTGCCGGTTTTGGGCCGAAAGTCGAACGCTTTTCGGAAATAACGACACCGAATGAAAAATAATTCCCCATCATTACTGATGATATATGTATACTATTTTGTAAACGTGATGGTTTTTTTTTCCGCCAAGGTGTACCGGCCAACCTTATATGGACTGTGTTCCTCGGCCGAGTCCGAAATATGTTTGAAAAAAAAAAAATAATGTGGCCTATTCCCCCCGCTACCTTTTTCGGACGTAATATAACGAACAACTCGGTATTGTTGCAGGTGACAAAGAGGTGCTGTCGTATTTCTTCGGACCCATCGGCATACTGTTGCTGATAAATTTGACCCTGTTCGCGGCCACGGCCAGAGAGTTGACTTGCGGCCTTTGGAGGACAGAAGTAGTGAAATCCACTAGCGAGAGGTAAGCGCGAGACGCGAGGTGCCTATATCTGTAATAGCATTAAGTCTCAGCCTGTGTATGTTGTCCACGTGTGTCGACTTTAAAAAAAAAAAAAAAACTTAAAATACATCGTTGGTTTTAAAAATTGTTAATTCAGGATAAGTCGGGGGACGTTCAAATGTTGGTCAGTTTACTTATGGGTAACGTAGGAAGCAGTCTTTATCAAACTACACCCCCCAAAGCCTAGAATGCTTTGAAAATTTAAAACCATTGGGCCGTTTATAATTATTACCACATTAATGACGGTGTATAATGTATTGCGTTAATTATTGCTGTACGGCGCTAGTTCTGGTACCACCCCATCGGTGCACGCATATTTTCGTTCTCTCCGACTACGGACATGTTATCTAAACCCATCTCGAGAGGTAATCTGCTTGTAAAATCCAGTCATTGCGGATCTATTAAATGAGTTCTCGAGTCAGATCTCATGAAAACGCCTAGTAACCGATACTGGATGTCTTGTCTTGATGTACAGACTCATGGTTTGAGCGCAACCGTCCTAAAGTCTGTGGTTAAAACCGATATCGTCGCACGTGCACTAGACGTTGGCGTTTTTACGACGTTTGTTTTATGCGGACGGTCTTTTGATTATTAAATTACACACTTTCGGTGTGTACATACACGTGTGTTATGTGTAGGACACTGTCGTTAAATTATACTGCACCGATGGTTAAACCATGTTACAGAGTATAGATACCGTTTGGTTTTCGCAGCGCTCCCCGTCCTTTGGCCGGCTCGAGTGCAGGGATGAAATCAGCACAGAAACGCATTCCGTACATTAATAATAGTATATAGAGAGGTTATTCTAATGGTTGTTATGTGTAATTACTGATTTATTTGTTTTTCGGTGTGCGCTTGACGCAGCAGGGAGGAGAAGCGTGCTATGTGTGCTAGCAGGGATCAACGGCGTCGCCGGTTAGTCCGTATACCTACATAATATTGCTTTTTTCATTAATACAATACACATGATAATAATATATATATATATGTATATTTTTCGTTTCTTAAGACTCGCGGGAACCTCTTGCGGGATAGAGTAAGAGGACTGCTAGTATTTAATCGAAAGGTTCCACGCGGCGTCCAATGTTTACCGACCGTGTATAATATATAAAACATTACACACATGCATTGTGTATATGCTCGGTTTCTGATTGATGGTGGTAATCTCGGCCGTCCGTTGAAAAAAAAAATTGATTTTACTCTGGAATTCGATTTGTGAGAGGCGGGGAAATAGTTGGATAAAAGAGGTATAGCCTAACCTATACCGTATACGTAGGTGTACGCTTTGGGTCTGTGTGTGTAAAAATATAATAACGAGTTAATGGATATAATATTTTGATCGAACGCACGATCCAACAACGGTGTAACCGTAGCATACATACATAATGGTGTGTGTGTGTGTGCATCGTGGTGGCATCTTGGCGTGGGCTGTGAAAATTAGGATGGAAACGATTTTGTGTGTGAAGAGATTTTTTTTTCTCGTGCACGGTAGCCGTTCGTTACGGAGGGGCCACCACGGAGTCATTGAGAAAATATTATATTCAGGCCGAAAATGAGGAATCCGATTCCTAATAATGATTTCTTAACAAAACGTAGAGTTGTTGTTTTCCGATTACTGTTGAAAGTGCGAAGGGATGAAAAAAAATGTAAACCACCGTGTCGAGGATGCTGCGATAGTCGGAAAAATAAATTAACTACCAAAAAAAAAGAGTTTTAAGTACTAAGCTTAATAGATAAGGGGTATCACGTCATTTTGGGGTAGAACAAAGATGGTTGGTAAACACTGTGACGATCATCCGTTATACACACACAGTGCTCTTCGCCGCATCGATTTGAATACTTCTCAAACTACAGTATTGCACTATTTATGTACCTAAACGAAACCAAATTTGAAGTTCAAATAAAAAATAAGAAAAAAAAACGTCCATCCAAATCACCATTGTCCTCTCCTCTTCTTCCGTCATCCCTTGGGGTCTGTGGTCTTTGGCGTTCAACATATATTATTGCCTGCCGTGTCACGGTAGACCATAGTGAAAAATGTATCGCGTGTGATCGATATGTGTGCAGATACATGACGAGTGAGTGTAATTTGATAAATCCCAGAACGACACGACAGTTTTGGATAGGTTTTGATAGTATTTTCATAAGCCAATAAGATTCGGGCGCTTTCCAAAGATAACCTGCGCGGCTCTTTCTTTGCAGAGAAATAATTGAACTCTGCAAAGTGCACCATAGCTGCGTTAAATGCGTCATGTTACGGTTGAGAGCAAAGGGTGTTGGAAAGTAACGCTACGTTAGTGTAAGTGGAAATTTGTCAATGATACCGTAACGGATTGTGGTGTGGCAGGTAAATGTGCTCGATTTCATAAACGTGTAATATTCCGGTACAGGGTGATCGATTTAACGCAAGACACCTAATTTTCTAGGAAAATTATAGTTATTTTGTAGTTTTTATTTTTGAAAACATTTTCAATTTAAATACTATACATTTTTTTAAAAATATTTAGTATTTTTCCAGAGCTCTGTCAACTTTTAAAACTAAAAACGGTACCGTATACGTTTAATTAACTTTTTGGATTAAAAATAATCTGCTGACAATGTTGACTAGTCGGTAATCTGCAGTTTTGGCTTAATTACTTTTAAAGTTAATAAAGCTTAAAATTTAGGAATGGGACGAAGCCCGGAGTGTAGTATTATTTTTATCTGCGCGCATTATTACTCTTTTCTCTTAGACGTGTTTCACTTAAGTTACTTTAAAAGTAATTGTCTAAAACTGGTTAAAAAGTCAATTAAATATGTACGTCATCGTTTTAGTTTTAAAAGTTGATGGAGCTCTGGAAAAAAATAAAAAAGAACAATTTTAGTTATGTCTAATATTGTAAATTGGTCACCTGGTGTGGTATGACTACAATAACAAAATATTCGACTTATTGATAACAATACCACAGTTTATTATGTACTAGAATGAAACTATTGTTATAAATTGTGTATTTTTCTTCGAAATAAAAGCCAAAATGGGTCAATCTCATCTTGAGTGATTTTTGGCAAACGGCCATTAATGATTGCACAAGGACAACCGTGATTGGCCTTTATACGGGCTTAAGCTCAGATTTGTCTTTGTTAATTGTGTTTTTGTGTATACATACACATACTTGATTATAATTCTGCATTGAGCTGCATGCGGCCGAGTGTAATGATATTGAATTACTACTCGTTGGCCGGATTTCCCATTGTTGCAGCGCACGTTCGAGTACACGAAATAATATACTACAACTCATTTTGAACCCAGATTAGACTTAGATTTTCAACGTGTACGGACTAGACGTTATTAGCCTACTTTTTTGTAAATACCATTTGCAGTGCGGGTTAACCGTAATTACCATTGGCCAAGTCCCCGCGACCTATGCCGGACGTGGTGTTGTTGGCCGTCTTTGCAGGTATTACTCGACTTTGATGTATTTGGACAAAAGCCTGGAACGCTAATTTCACTTCTTTTTTTTAAGTAATTGCAAATGCATCGCGCAAAATATAAATTACAATAATAACAACGCCTATGATAATAATTATGGTACCTACCCGTGTTGATAATTATACTGTGCGTTGTTGTTTATGTATGCGCCAAAACCGTTCGATGTGCTTGATCAGTCTTAAGCGGCAAGTCGATTTAACGTTCTATGAAAAATGCGCAATAACCATATTAGACGGAATACGGGTTTTTTTTTTTAATCAGTTGGTTTGCTCTAAAGTATAAGTGCACGAATTTTCTGTAGCCATAATATTGCTAATCGTCAACAGCCTAATATGCGGATCTGTCGGGGTCTTCCATACACAAAATATGTCATCAGAAAATATTATTGGATAAAACAACAGATGCATTTTCAGGACATTGGATGATTACTCGGGTAGGGTAACGCCAAATTTAAATAATTTATAGGTTCATACATTTGTTTGATGATCCACACTGTAAATGTATATTTTAATAGAATCTTCTTCTTTGAATTATTTTATAAAAGTGAAATGAACCGATTTCTTTTACGATTGACAAATTTTGCAGTCTGCGGATTGTTATTTATTTTTGTAATTAGTATTTAGTTTTCGAGCACAGACCGAATAAACACACTATTGTAACAATCGACAACAGGTTTATCGACTTAGGGTGGAGCAACAATTAAACAAGATAATAAATAATATATTAATCAAAGGATTATACATAATTTGGTTTAACCCAATAAAATATAAGTTTATTTATTATTTATAGAATGTTTCAGAAAATTTCAAATTTCGTTAATAAATAAATAAAAAGTACCTGTTTAAAAAAAAAAAAAATGTTATCTTAAACCATATCTTAGATAATATATAAATGTTGAATCTGTTATTAATATATTTATCGATTGTGTTACAGGGCCACGTTGGGACGAGTTTGCCTGAAACTGGTGATCGTGATGGGCATTACGTGGACGGTGGACGTAATGTCGTGGTTGATCGGCGGTCCGAACTACGTGTGGTACATGACGGACCTGATGAACGCTCTACAAGGGGTGCTCATATTCATCGTGGTCGGATGCCAGCCGCAGGTGTGGATGGCCGTCAAGCGCATGTGGTGCCTGCGGTCGGACAACCCGTCGGACGGCGGTAACGCCAGGTCGTCCACGTCCAACGCCATGCCGTCCACCGTCAACGAGTCCACGCTGTCCAAACCGGTGGAGACGCTGTGCTGAGGCTCGAGACGGCCGTCGCCCCCGCCCCCGCCCCCTCCCCCGCTCCAATTTCAAGCCGCTGCCGTTGCGTGTGCCGCCGTGTTCCGCTCTGCACTCCGCTCATCTTGCCCGCACTTTATCTGCACCGCGCGAGCGATTGGAACGTTAGACTGACAACTATTTTGTTTATTATTATTATTATTTTTTTTTTTTTTTTACTTTAACCAGTATTATATTTTAAACACATGCACACATGAAGTATATATATTCGATTATAATATGAACATTTTGGCACGTGACTTTTTTGTTGAGGCTTTACCGGCCACCGCGATGAGAAGATTATGTATTATTAATATATATAACCGTTATTATATTATGTTTATGAGTATTGTTGTTCTCGTTGGACCAAAGATTAAATAAAAAAAATTTTTAAAAACTATAATATCATAACAAATTCGCACATACCCCTATTCGACTCTTGTATAGACCGACAATACAATTTATTGATAAAAGAACGAGCGCCTAATATTGACTAAAAAGTAAATAAAAACGTTATAAAAATGACACACAAAAAAAACGAGCCGTTCGCTTCGGCTTTTCTTAATAGTATTGTAATCTTAACTGTAATGTTGAAGATGTTCTATACCTAATATATAGTGATTTATTATTCTTGAGGTAAACCTATATTGTACACTACTGTATGCCGGCTGTTCGGTTGTTTGTTTTTTTTTTATGCGATGTTTAATATTATGTATTCACAATAAATTTAAAAGTATTTATTAATATATAACCCGCGTCCGGATTTAATGGGGTTGTTTTTATTATTTTTAAATCCTTTATTACAAGATTTTTTTTTTAACTTTACAAAAATTTTTTTTTTTTTTTAAGTACAATCTTTTTTATTGATAACTAACAAAACTATAATAATATATACTTTTAGAGCAAATATAACTAGTTTGTTTTTTATTCGTATAAAACTTTGCTTTTCAGTAACAACTAACGAAAATATCCTTTTGGCTAAAGTAATAAATAATAATGTTACATTGTGCAGGTGCCAAATATATAAGTAGGTAGGTATGTAGGTATAGTGATAAATATTCAGCTTTGTGTTCGTATTATTATTATTATTTGTTTGTGTAACATCTTTTTTATGTTAAGTTCCTGTAAGCCTATGTAATTTATTTATTAAATGTGTTTCAACACGAATGATGATTGGTCTATTATTGTATTGTATTTTTTTTTTTTTTTTTTGACATATATATTATTTTTATTATACCTATTTTAATTGCGAATAAGCCTGATACCGCGTTAATTAATTTGTATTAAGATCTTTATGTAGAACTGTATTTGCGACGATTTGAAGTTTTTTTTTTTTTTTTAAATTAGCTTTGTAATTTATGTAAGGAGTTAAATAATTGTAATGAAATAAAATAAAGTCTTCGGCTTTTGACTGTGTAGATAGTAGGCATGTATTTGTAAGTATAGTAATTGTGAGTGAATGTTATTTTACAAACAAAATAAAAATGGCGGAGTTGTTGAATAAACGTCGGTTTTTTTTCTTTTACCTCTTGTGATTGAGATAGTCAATTATAGATAGATAGATAGATAGTAATTTAAATGATAATCCTATCCTATTTGAAAACTTATAACAAACATTTATGATACACTTGTATTAAGATGTTGAAGTGTTGTCTAAAATTATTAATATCATTTTTTTAACACTGTACAAACAACGGAACTTGACTTCAACTTTTATAGCGCTAACAGACAGAAAGGGTTTTTATTTTGTAAAAGTTAAGTATCGTCTTTTTTTTTTGTTATCGGATTGTATTATTACAATTTATTATTCTGTGGTATTATTCGTTTAAGTCGGTAATTTTTTTACAGTACAATGTTTTTTTGAATACACAAAGCGTATTTTATTGTTGTGCGCCTCCGATAATGACCGACAACCATAATTGGTGGTTTTGTATATTTTAATTTATATTATTTGGATATCTGCACAGCGTGTTCACGGTAAATTTATCAATATCTATACATAATTTTAATAACAGTGTTGTTAAAAGAATAATAATTTTAGTCTGCAACACCTGTCAGAGTAGAAAGAATTAAAGATTACCTATGTTTTTTTTTTATGAAATAACCACTGCCTTGGGCCCGTCGTAGTCAAACCTATAATTACAAAATTTAAAATATCCGTTTTGTATTTTTTAAGTGTAGGTGGCACGGGTTGCCATTAGGTTGTCGAAGGTAAACATGTCTTGTTAATAAATTTAAATAAAAACAGGCAAAATGGTGCAGAATTGGACTCAATTCAAATAAGATAATAAATAATAAATATTTTGACTTGTTCTATCGGCGAATAATAGATGTTTTTTTGTATTTAACAATAAAAACTTAATTTAAATAATGATATGTAATCATACTTGAAAGGATTAAAATATAAAAGATAACTTTTTTTTAACTACAGATCCAATTATACACTTTGTGGGACTTGAAGTAATTAAATTATTTGTTTGTTTTCTGTAGAAAATTCAAGTTAATTAAATTTTACAAAACATTTGATTTTGTATCATTAGTAATTTATTTTAAATGTTTTTATAAAAATAGAATATCTTTTTGCAAAAAATCTATTTTTTAGAAATATTATTCATCTTTAATCTATCGACTTGTGTATTAGTATTATATGTTTTGAAATTAAATATTAGTGTAAAAAATAATTATCAATAACTAAAATCAGAAAACACAAATAATTTGTTACAGAACAACACAAATTAGATAAATCAAGTTGTCCAGTATTTTTTATATTTATTGATTTTCTAATATACACTTTACATCAGTTTACTAAAATCAACAATTTCAAAAGTAGTATTTTGTACTTAAGATAGCTATTAAATACCGACACATAATTAATATGTGAAGTACTTATTACTACTAGTAATGACCACTATACTTTAAGTTACAGTACGATTAATAAATAGTTAAATTGTTTTTCAATAATTTTTTAAATTGAAAACCATACAAAAATGTAAATAAATATTTTCATATTATGATTCATTTATTTTTATATTCATCATAAATAATACTTGGCAAAACAAAATTTAGTTAGGAAATCAAATCAACAATCACTTATTTAGTAATTAAAATAAAACAAAATAATAATTTAGAGCATTGACTTATAATAGTTATTAAGTTTGTACATTGTACATTAGACACGTTTTTGAGTATAGTTTTTCACGTGTTTAATTATGTTGTGTACGACGTCTGTAGTAGATGCGGTACCGTTCAAATCGGCCGTGTGGACCAAGTCTTCACTAAGCGTTTTGGTTATGGCAGTTCTAATCATGTCACAATGCATTTTGTGTCCTAAGTGTTCCAACATGTCAGCGGATGCGCTCAACATGGCTACAGGATTGGCGATATTGGCACCAGCGATGGACGAACCAGTGTTCCTGGTGCCTGGTTCGAACACAGCATAATGGTCGCCATAGTTTCGGCCAGATATTAAACCAGCGCCACCGACAAGACCGCAGACAACGTTGGACACAATAGACCCATAAAGATTAGGCATGACCATGACATCAAACTGATGAGGATTTGATACTAGCTGCATGCAGCAGTTATCAATGATCATGTTTTCAAACTCGATTTCTGGATATTTACTTGCCATTTGTCTGCATGTCTCTAAAAACAGACCGTCAGATAGTTTCATAATGTTGGCCTTGTGAACGGCCGTAACTTTTTTACGGCCATTATTCTTGGCCAATTCAAAAGCATAGCGAGCTAAACGTTTAGAGTTCTCTTCTGTGATAATTTTCATAGATTCAACTACTCCGTCCACACTTTCATGTTCTAACATTGCATACTCGCCTTCGGTGTTTTGTCTTATAATTATGACATTTACGTTTTTTTGCCGACTCTGTACATTTTCGTACGAATGAACATTAATTACGTTGACAAACAAATCTAGTTCGTTACGTATGGCTACATTACGCGATATAATATTGGTATCGAGACTTTTGGTTTCAATATTTCCTTTGATGGCTACGCCGTTTCTACGAATAGACGTGATAGCATACTGCAAATCATCGTTATTGTCGCTCGATGGATCAATTTGAATTGTCTCGAAATCAACGGGTACACCTCCGTGCTTGAACACTTCCTTAACGTAAGTCATCAATTCTGGACCAATTCCACCGCCTGGTAACATCGTCACCGCATTCCTACCTCCATACCTATAAATGGAAAGCGCATATTGTTATATTATAAAAGTTAAAACTGTTTTAAACTGTAAAATTATGAGAGACGATTACACTTTTTTTTAATAATTCTTATAACTAAGTAAGTAAATCACGTTTACCGACTGAAATTCATAATTACCTGGCTCTTGGTAGTCCTACTTGTTTTCTGGCAATGGGTTGCTTGTGTTGAATATCAAAATTGACCCCTGACATAGACCGGACGGATGGTCGACTGGCTTTTTGCAAAGCACATTTTGAAAAAGAAGTTAACATTATTGATGATATTCTGCTCTTTGGCGATTTAAAATGTTTTATACGTGCGCTTTATACGCAATACCGTGCGCTTCAAAAAAACTCTTTGAGAATTAAAAATCATTCGTACAGCAGCTGTTTAGTGGTCCTTATCGATATTGAAAAATTAATATAATGATAACCTTATCATTTTAGTGTACACAAGATGTTCTGCTCAGTCGGGTTGCTACCACTTTTCCCAAATTGCATAAATTACCAAAAGTATGTCTATGGCAGGTTTCTTATCAATGGGCGGAATTCAAACTGATAAGGCAGTTCACCGGTTGTTGGACGAGGGCTGGCTTTGCGCCGTCGCTTTGCTCCGCTAAACCAAAAATATCCTAAGTTTGCAGACTACAGTCTAAGAGGAGGTTACAGATTCAAAGTTAAGTTAAAAAGATCTGATAAGAAACTTGTCATTGGAAAAAGTGTACAATGGAAAAAATGGTCCTTGGTAGTAGTAACGCATGCAATTTGGAAAAAGTGGCGCTACCCCTTTTCTTAATCACAAAAGAAATCGTCTGATGTAAACAAACAAACAAACAAAACGCCGGCCTTTCTTTTTAGAATTCCTAATTCTCTAAAAAATGTTCAATATATTATGTTTTTAAAGTTTTGTAATAATTTTTCTGTTGCAAATAACAAATGAAATAGTTTAGTTTTAATTAGTTTTTATTTTTTCTTCTAGTCATTATTATTAAGTTTAAATACAATTACAATATTTTTAATATGTTGCTCAACAATTTATATTGTTTGTGTTCAGTATTTATTGTTTTAATAGTGTTTCCTCACAAAGCGAGTAAGTTGGTCGTAATAGTACAAATAAATTGTTTATAATATAGTCTATTTTTATTAAAACTTTTATTTTAGAATCGTCTGATATCGTTATAACAATATTAAGTCAAAATAACAATTATAGTGTAAACCTAGCTACTAACTTGAAGAAACTTATTTTATCTCAAACGGATCAAATACATGTGGGTAAACGTTTTTATTTTAATGTTACTTTGTACTATTTAGTTAATTTTATTTATTATATTGAGGACTTAGTTGAAAAAAAATATATAAATTTCAAGTATTTACAATGTAACTACTATATAGTTAAAAAGAAATGTGTTAAATAACTACTGTAAATACATTTAAAGGAAAACCATTTAGATACTCTGTAAAATCTTCATTTTGTACATACAACATTTTTTAACTGTCAACAATATTATATAATATATTCTTATAATTATTATGTTAATAATAATTAGTATATGTTTAGAATTCTCAACTTGGAAAAGTGCAATTGTTACATGAAGAGTTTCCAGATGATGGAAGTTGGACAATTATACCCATAATTAAATCGTAATGATTTTCATAATGTATTACTTTACATTTTTATTATTAGATAATTAATTTGCATTTTACAACATTATAGATTAATTGATAGAAATACAAATGCAAAGTGGTTCCTGTTTTGCGAAGAAAACTCATATGTTGATTATGGAAATCTGTTGAAACTAATAAGCGTATACGATCATAACCAAGTAACTTTTTCAGTTAACTATTATAGTAAAATGTTGCAAGTCCAATTATTTATTTTATTTATAAACCATATTCTATTTATTATACAATCCTCTATTCATGCTTTTCCTTATTCTGATTAAACGGAGTCAGCTGGCCAAATCTGGTCTTCATACAAATCTCTATCTATCGTCATTTCTTCCTCAGTCTACCTCTTTTGTAATCTCCGTAACTCGTTTTACAATTTCTCTTTCCTCCCTTCTATCAAAATTTATCATAATAAAATATTTATTAAAAATTCTTGCTATAGCAATACTATTAAATTAAATACTTACTTGTTTGTCATAGCCCGTCTGGATGGGATATGGATTAAAAGATAAAACCCCATCTATTGTTCACCATTACCTGTTCGAAGACGATGACAACAAAAGATTGGCTTACCCTTTGTTTGCAGCGGGATTTCTCATGTCTATGGAACTATTGTCAAGGTTAGAACTTAAAAGTTTAATTAGATTTTAAGTCAAAGTTGGCAATAACCTAGGATATTTTTTGGTATGCTTTGACCCAATAAAACATATACTTTTGGGTGAATGTTGAGCTTAAATAAAAAAATATTTTTTCCAACAGTTTTTAATGTTATTACTTAAGCATATTATTTTTTAATTACTTTATAGTGTGGTAGATAAGATGAAACCGTCTGCTACCTTTTCAATTGATGCATCATTTGAACTCGCACAACTAATTGACCACAAACTCAAACACATGCCGTTAACGTTTTGTCTAAAACAATCTAGCACCTGTGTGGTTCATCCACAAACTGAAAGATATAAATGTGTAAGTATCAAATAAAAATACTTTGTATTTTCTAGAATGATCCATTTGAAAGATTTAATTTATTATTTATTAGACCTCCTTATATCTACTTAGTAATATTTTCCGTACATTTTTTTTGTCATTTCTCTTAATATTGTCGTTTTCTATTTTTATCAACATAAAAAACTTTACTTTTGTATTTTCGTTGTTACTCATACTAAACAACTTTCTGTATTTTGTGTATACTATTTTTGCCTATATTATGTATTTTATTTATAGGAACGCAAAGTCGCAAAAGGTTCAATATATTTCGCTGTAAAAACTTGCGAACAATATCACAAAAGCAGAATACCGGTTGTAAAATCGACATGGGGTGGAGAAGCTGTACATATTGAATATTTCAGTGATCAACTCGGTTATTATCTAAATAGTATTTTCATATACAGTGAAACCCGAGACGGAACTTGTGTGTGGTCTGGCCAATCCACTTTGCAATGCGACCTTAAATGAGACAAAAAAACAGTCTTGTACGGAATTTTCTTTTGGTCTCACTCAATTCCGTCTTGGGCGTATTTATTTTATTAATATTAGTTTTAGTAAATACTTGGTACCTAACTTTTGTATTTTAGACCCGAACATACCAACAGTAGTATTTCCAAATATCACCAATACAGACCATGGCTTTTGTTCGAAAACTATGTCGATCATCAAATATTTATCTGATACATTAGCTTATTATCCGTCATTTAAATGGATTGTAATTACCGATGACGATACACTTTTGAGGTAACTAAAAGAGTTACGTATAAATGGCATTGTCGTGTCAACTGTGTTATATATTTATTTTGGTCTTAGCGTCTCGCGACTCGCGTCCATACTAAGCTGTTGGGACGGACAGGTAATAGCTCTTGGACAAAGATATGGTTATAATGTTCAAGGAACTCCGTCATTAGGGTACAATTACATAACTGGAGGTGGCGGTATAGTGTTGAGCATGAATTTAGTCCACAAGTTGACCAAATGTAAGTGTGGTAGTCCTCAATCACCAGATGATATGGTCTTGGGAATATGTTTAAAGTCTCTAAAAGCTACAGTCGTACATTCTCCAGTTTTTCATCAGGTTGGTTTAAATGTCGGAACGTTCTTATTAAATTAATTTGCTTAAATTTGTATTCTATTTTATAGGCAAGACCTCAAGATTATGCCGATGAATATTTAGAAACTTATCCGATAGTATCTTTTCATAAGCACGATGGAGTCGATCCGTTACGAATCTACCGCTATTGGCTTTATCAAGATTCTTCATTCGGACACGATGAACTATAAGTAACAAAAAAACAGTCGAGCAAGGCCAGTTAAACAAATTATAAAGAGCTTTATTTATTTAACTACTTTGTATGGAAATAACATTTTTGTAAAAATAACAACAATAATAATAAAATATAACTATTAAATTTAAAACAAGTGATATTGATAGAAAAAACCAGAAAAGTTACTTATTTTATAAATATAAGAAAAACATATTTAAAATTGCAGTACATACGTCAAAACTAATATTATGAACCCAAAATCACCATTTTGAAAAAAGCGACTTAAATGGTTTTTTTCCTATGCTCTTAAATGGTTTATAAGTTAAATATTTAATTTGAAATTAGTATACATGTTTCATATATGTATACTTTAAATTATAACTTATAATTTTGATCTTGTTGATATCTCATTCCACCAAGCGGGTCTTTCGAATGTAGACTTCTGTCTCCACAATGCATTTTTTAAATTTTCATAAACCTAAAAAATGAAACAAAATTTAATATAGTTTATATTTAGTAGAATACAACAAATACAAATAGTTACACACCTATTATTATTTGTATTTTAAAAAATGCAAGATTACAAATAACAATAAATAAAAAGCCATTCCAATAGAGCCAGGGCACAATAGTGGAGCATATTGGGATAGGAGATGTTACAAATCTTTAGGAATTATTGTAACTATAAGTGATAAAATTAATTTCAAATCCCCTGGTATTTTTTTATTTAAATAACAATTAATTACATAAAATATATTTTTATTTAGTGTTTCAAATAATTTATACTTATTATATTGTTTAAATTTATATATTTTTTAAATTATTATTTCTCAATTTTAATTTACAATAACAGTTAATAATAATTAAATGTTAAAATAATCGAATCGAGCAAGTAATAGTTTATATGCCAAAATAGACTTAAAAATTTACCTTTCCGTTTGAAGCGCCCAAAACAGAATTCAATATGAAATCAGGTGGTGCAATCGCATCAGCAAGAGTAACAGCTTCATTTTGGAGGCTTGAACTTAAATTTATTATAGATTCTTTGATGACCTCAGATGCTAATGGACCGTTAGCATAGCTACCTTTACATTACATCAAATAAACATGAATTTATATTCAAGTAATGGTTAATTTTTTAATTTAACTATCGAAACCCTACCTTCATACATCAAAGATAAATGTTTTTCAATTAGCCAAAATCCATACAGCGATGCTAATTTATGAAGAACAGACCGGTGAGATTCATCCAAATCTGGCGACGTAGTAGTTTCAATAAATTGTTTTAGGATTAAATACTGAAAACATTATAATTAATAAAAAAAAAAACTTTTTGTATTATGTTTTCAATTGATTACTTCAGCAAAAGCAATCGATAAATCACGAGCAAAAAACATTTGACTTTCGTTCTTAGCTGTAAATTTACACACTCCTTGAGCTTTTAATAAATTGACTCTTTCGCTTGTTCGTTCCAACAAATAACATATTATCCATTGAAAACAGGACAATAAATCTAGTAAATAAATTGATATATTAGTAGAGTTTTAATTCACCCAAATAATTTTGATTACTGGTATGAATAAAGCCTTCATCGAATCTGGAAATCATAAATTTTCCTCGCAATATAGAGTTGGCTTGTTTAAGAAATTCAATGGAACCCAAAGGGGTATCACAAGCATTTTTATTTCCATTTGCTAAATTTGACCAAATATTCAAAAGCCAATTGCTCGTTTGTTGTATTAATACATTATTATCGCCTTCGTAAGTACAATTAGCATCATTTGCACTGCGTAGATCGTTAAATCCAGCAGCTAAAAAAAAAAAAAAAAAAAAATTTAAATTATTGATACACACTTCATGTTTTATAAAACATACCTTTTAAATAACCATGTCCGCCACAGGCTTCTCGGCACTCCTGTATAGCATCCCGAGCTGTCCATGCAGCTACAGGTTTAGTACAACTGGAAATTCCATGAATTTCAGCGCCTAACAATCGCTGAAAATAATTAATTATATACAATCAATTTTGATCATTTTAAAAAATAATTAAGAACTGTAGCTTCTTACAAGCCTTTCAGAACCACTATTTGAAAACATTTCAAAAAGGAACGATTCATACATTCTGGCAACATAGTCACCATATATTTTTAAAGCATAAGTAGCTGCTAATAATGGAATCAATCGACATTGCTGAAAAAAATATATTTCTCATTTATAAGAATCAATCAAAATCGAATTATATTTTAGAAATATAAAACATTAAAATAGATATTAACATTTTATCAAAAATTTTGTATTTACCACAAGTTGGTACTCCAACACCGGAAGTTCTTCACCGTCGGTAGGACCAAACTGTTTTCTTACAGCGGTATATCTTATGGCAATTGGAACGGCTTTTGTTATGTAAGATACACATATATTTATTATACCTAATCGTCCTGCCGATAAACTGCCTAATGAAGCACCTGCACAGGCAATTTTATGCACTTTTATTATATAGTATTATATTACATGCCAATAGCAGCGATGCAAGAATGACCCAAGTAGTAATTATACATTTTCGTTAATTTTTTTTACTAATATTGTCCTTATAATACAAAAATTAAAATTTTTGTTGATTACATTTTAATACTGATAAATTTACAAAAGATTCCAAGCACAAGTACAGATGTAGCTCAATAGAGGAGTACATTAAACACATAATTAAAAAATTTGTAAAATAAATAAATAATACTAATTTTTATTATAGTTTGCAATTTGTATAATTAAACATTCATGAACCGTGATAATAATACCTACCTAATCTTTTTGATTTGTCTTTGAACGGTGAAATATATTGGCCATCATCGTTTATATCGCCTGTTTTGCTCAGTAAACTTTCTTTTGGTATGTGATAATTGTCAAACATTATGAAACTATTTTAAAAAGAGTTACATTAATATAGTAATTAATTTAATAGTTTACAAAGTTAATTTTACCCATTATCAACACCGTTTAAATTTGCTTTTTCTCCTAAGTCTCCAACTATGACACCCGAATATGGTAACATAGTTTTTACATCTCGTATTTTGACCACAAAAGCGTGTAACCCATGATCATCACCATTGCTCATTATCAGTTTAGCCCAAATTATTGCATGTGTACTAGACTTTCCTACAAAATATTAATTTGCAAATTAAATAAAACAACATTTTTGTTGAAATTGAAATGAAAACATACCTAAACTCCCAACCCAACATTTGGCAGCCTCAAAATCAGGCGTATGCATAATAAATTGTTTTATTTTATTGTCGTAAGTGCATGTAGTTCTCATTGCTTTTGTGTTTGTACCATGAGAAATTTCTGTAAGAGCAAAACAACCAGGAACCTATAAAACAATACATAAAATAGGTGTGTTTTTGGGGCAAACCCAATATGTTTTTTTTTTTGTTAATTAGTTCAATTTAATGAATATGTAAGCTTAATAGGCCTTAAGTAACTTAAAAATTGTAAAATTTACATAAAGAATATGCATTTTACAAAAAAAATTGTATTTTCCCTCAAGGAGGTCAAATTTAAAAAAGCGTACATTTTAAATGTGTAAACATTGTAATAAATACATGAAAATGTATATTACATTTAGTTTGATGGTTTTGTCGTTGTCAGACGTATAAACCTTATTCCAATTTACTCAACTATGTGTAATGTAAAGCAATTTGAGTTTTAAATTTTGAAAAAGTTTAAATTTCCCAATTTCTTAAAAAAAAAAACAATCGAACATAATATATTATTACACAAAATTATGTTCATAATTTATGACCTTAACATGTATATATTGTAATATAAATAAAAACGTTATTACCTTTCCCTCAATTGCCAATTGATAGATTTCTGAGTTTCTGCCATTATCCATCCCAAAAATCACATTTGAAAACATGTCAAAAGTTAGCCCCACTTTTATAGCCATAGAAGGACAATATTGAAACATAGTTACCATTTTTGTCATACTCTATTTTACAAAATATTTTTTTTAATAGTAACAAGATAATCCTAAAACAATAATTATTTATTTCCATACCAGTCTTGGGGTAGACATTATTTCATCAAATGGAAATACTTTTTTTTCAACAATTTTATACATTCTCATCAATGCCAAACGTCGTTGTTCGTCTAATGTTAAAGTTTCATCCGAATGATTAAACAATGGATCAGATTCAAATATACTCCACGCTTTCATCTAAATTAAATTTAAAAAATTGTTCAATATGTATTATTAGTAGGTAGGGAAGTTACATCAAATGTAATATAATATATAGTTTTCATCGATAGTGTTATGACAAAAATAAGTTTTGCACAAATTGCATTAAAACTTATAGTTTTGGCTGAGATTTGAACTAATAATGTTTTTGATAGTTACCTTATAACGCAAAATTTGTTCAGATTCAATAAATACTTTCATTTTTTTCCAGTCTATAGTAGATTTATTTCTGTACAAATCTAATGGACCGGATTCAAACTCTTTCAAAATATCTGAGCACGAATTCATTTTTAACTGAAAAAAACATATAATTATAATAATAATTAGTAAAATTAAGATAAAATTATTTTAAAAAAACCTTAAAAATCATGGTAATTTATCATAATACATAAAGAGTAGTTAACATATAATATTTGAACAGTAATGTACAAATTAAAGCTTAGTACAACGCAATTTTATATGTTTACTCAGTACAGCTATGAAATGATGTTTACAGCTAGTGTTATTAGTTGTTTGTTGAGTAACGCAAACCAATTTTAAAACAATTAGGGAACAACACAATTTAGACTATGACTCATACACGTTTCCGTAAATATTATATAAATTTAAATACACTATAAATGTTATAGCATTTTTAAACCTAGTTAGGGTATACAACCTTATTATGCAAAACTCGTAGTTTAATTTATTCATAGGTCGTAAGGTTAAAAAATGTGTACACTATAACCTATAAATATAAAGTAATATATATGACTAAAAAATGTGTCAATATTGATGAACAATATTTAAAATAAGATAATTAGATATATAAATAGTTCATAAATACATAGATATACAAATATTATAAGAAAATATATGATTTTAAATATATTTTAGAACCCATTTATTTTTAAAGAAAGGATACAACTATACAACCAATAAGATTAATGTATAAATCACGTTGTTGATTAAATAACAAAGTTTACCATTGAAAATTACCTTTGGTTTATTAGTGCTAATTGAAATACATTTGCTTTGCAAAATCAGTTTTACTCTATTTCTGAATCCATACATACTTTGGTCTCTAAAATAAAATAAACAACATATATGTCTACCAAACAATATAACATTTAAACGCTTTTCTTTTTTTTTTTAAGTGAAAGTTATTACCCAAAATAATTTGCTCTATATTAAATATATAATTGATTTTTATAATTTTTTATTGTATAATATAATTAAACAAATATTACTTTTGACATGAACATTATTTTCTTCTAATTAAATATGCTCATATTATTTATATTATCATTATTATGACTTATGAGGGATTATTATCATATAATAATGGTTCCTAAAATAATAAATTCCCTATTGAATATACCATTAAATTTAATTATTTTATTATTAAAAAAATTATTATGATTTGTCAAAATTTCTTTGAAATTATTATGTTATAATATATTACCTTGAATGTTATCATTATATTTTTATGAAGAACCAAGTTAATTAAAACTCATTACAATAATAACAGATTATACCAGATAACTACATACCTTGAATATTTGAAAATAATAATTGTCCTCAACTGTAAGAGACTTTGTAGTGATGAACAAAAAATATAAAGACGAATAACTTATTTAATATTTGATTTGGATGACTGATGAAAACGAGAAATCCATAATTATAACTTTCACCTTGGTATGTCTACACCATTCTGACCACAGACAAGTATACTACTGTAGTCTATGAGTATACTACTGATTCTGACTTTTGTAGTGTTCAGACTTCAGTGTTGGATTATAGTTCACCTACCAGAAACGAAGTTTTTAAAATTGGGTGGGTAAAGTTTGTTCCACAAATTTTTTCTTTCAATGAACATTTGTTCCAAATGTTTTGTAGAAGAAAAATGATATGGCATAACAGTATGGATCACTACCTTTTGTTCCACAATTTTTTCATTCCGTGAGACATTTGTTCCAAAGACACTTTTATCCAAGAGTATGGTTTGTTCCAATGGACATTTGTTCCAATCACCTTATTTTCCATTAAACAATTATGCAAACGGACGTTTTGTCTAAATTGTAATTGTTCCAATATACATTTGGCCCATGATCATTTTTTTTCAAATGAGTTTGTTCCACAATACATTTGCTCCAACAAACAATTCATCCTGTTTTGGAACAAATGCTAAATGAAAAAAATGTTTATGGGATCAAAACATTTTTGGTTTAAAAAATAACAGCTTATCAGTTTATATGTTATAAGTATTATAGGTATTATAGGTATTGGATATTAATTGAAGAGCACAGGGGAAAAACGGTAGTTGTCACATTATGAAAGTTTTAGAGTATAGCAAAAACAAAGTTCGTGAATTCCTCTACCTCTTACATAAGATTAAAAAAATCACATTAAATGCTACTCTAACAATAAATGTATTTATTTAAACAATCTATTGACATAAATAAAAAAAACTATTTGAAAGAAAAAATTTTCATAATTTGACAACTACCGTTTTTCTCCTGTGCCCTTCAATTATTAACATGAAAATGTTACAACAATATTCTTAGCATAACAGAATATTACTGGCTATGCTAGTTACATTAGATGCCTAAATGTACATAATACATACTTTAAATAATATGATATGAATGATATCTATGATACATACATTTATTTTCCAATATACCTATGAATTTCTTATTGTTATTAACTAAAATAATGTTGAACGCATTGAACATTACATATTAATTCTTAGAATGAAATGCTAAAATAAAGACGAATCAAACGTAATCAACAAACCAGTATAATTCATATTGTCGTTTTTGATAATGTAGTCAAATCATCCTGTAAAAAGTCTTTCTTTTTCAAACATAAATAAAGTGATCGAATTCATACCAATCTATAAGCTGTGAGACAATTTTCTGAGAAGTATTTTTTACTACCAAAATGGCTATAACACAGAAAAAATTGGATACGTTAATAATTATACCATAAAAAAAATTACCTGACTAAAAGTTATTAATGTGATTACCTACTGATCATTTTTGGCATGAAGCTTAATTTGTTATAATTATCCACCTTTATTAGTTAGACAGACCACCCTAGTAAGTATATCATCTTAAGGCGAACGGAAAGCGTCAATTTTTTTCAAATAAAGACTAAAACGCGAAGTCACTTTCTGAAATGTCTACCGAACCGACTTCAATAATTTTTTTTTTGGTTTTATAGTTTAACATCTTTTCTATGAAAGGCTATTATTTGTGTATATAAGTAATGAACGAAACCATATAAGTAGGTATTAGCCATGCACCAGGTGTGGATCGAAGGAGACGCCTCACTACCCCCATCCCTAAAAAATCATTTTATATAATCATCAAAAAACAACAGCCCAAATAATATTTAAATATAAAAGTTTATTCAAATTGCACAATATGTTAATTATGAAAAATTCTTGTAATACATGCGTAATATCTTTTAACAATTTTGAATCAATATGTCAGTATACGATGATGCCTTATAAGCGTTTATATATATTAATAAATTTAGTAATAAGAGATGATTTATAAGCAATGGAAATTTAATTTTCAAACAAGTAATGAAGGTAAACATAACAATGAGATCCAGATTGCAACTACAAGAGGCCTTAAGTAGAGAAGAGAAGAAGTGTATAAATTTACTGCTACCGTGAATGTTCGTAAGAACTAAACTAAAAGTTAACGCTAAACACATTCACAGTCAATAATAAAAATTTACACAATTAATATAAATTTAATTTAATTATTTATAATGTAATATTTATATTTATAAAATGTAAAATTAGTTATATAATATAAAATAATTTAGAAAAAATAAATCGATCATATATAAACATTTAAAAATAATTATGTATAATCATTTATGATAGGGGTTTTATTCAAAATGTAGGTAATCTTTATGAGAAAAAAAACTGTTTACCTGAAAAAAATATATAAAAAGTATTTTTTAATTCAGATGCATTATACTTTTATAAATTTGTTGATAACAATTATTTAACCAACAAAAAGGGGTTTAATTAAATTAACTTAACCCTTATCATATAATAATGAGTTACTTAGCCCCTTCATAAATAAAATTACTAAATCATAAACGGGTTTGTGTGCAAAAGAGCGATATAACCCAGAACTACTTGGCTAACGTATTTGATTAATTTTTATTTATTTTAAATATATTTTTATAAACATATAAAAAATTATTAATTCTTTTAGTACTATTCAAAAGTAAGAAAACTAAAGGTTTATAACGTCTATAACATAAATCATAATTTAAATTACTTAACAATATACATCATTGTTATGCCATATCACTTTCCTTCCGCAAAACATTTGTTCCAAATAATAATTATTCCATGTATCTTATCTCCCAATAAACTCTTGTCTCAATAGACTTTAGTTCCACAAAACATTTGGAACAAATGTTCATCGGAAGAAAAAATTTGTGTAACAATTATTACCCACCCTAACAAAGTATTGTGGAACAATCGTTCATGGAAGTTAAACATTTTCGAGAAAAAGATAATTGGCACAAAGTATCATCGGAACAAAAGTAAACAAACGTTGGATTAAGTGTTCCAAAAATGTTTCCAAAAATATAACTTCCAATATAAACTATATAAATAATAATTGTATATGGTATTATTTACATACATAATATCGCCGCCCCGGTAGAACAACTGCAATGACCTAACAGCAAAATTTGGTAAAATGGGCTAAATGCTTCAATGTGTTTAAATATATCGAAGGCATAAGCTCGCAAAACGATGTAACTGTAGTTGTAATAATTTCCCAAGCATTCCCATTCCATTAAAATTACATCCAATAACATTTTAGTGAAAATAATTTGGTTTTTTCGTTCTCCTGTAAAATTTCAATTTTTACAATTGAATTATTGTTCTACCGGGGCAGCGATATATTGGTAGGTAATTCATATAATGATTTATGTTATATGATGTTTTAAACATTTAGTTTACTTACTTTTAAATAGTAGGTACTAAAAGAGTTATTGATTTTTATATTTTTATGTAAATATATTTGAAAGAAGTAAAAATTAATCAAATATGTTAGCCAAGCAGTTTTGGTTCATATCGCTCTTTTTCACAGAAACCCATTTATGATTTAGTAATTTAATTTATGAAGGGACTAAGTAACTCATTATTATAATATGAAAATGGTCAAGTTAATTTAATTAAGCCCATTTTTGTTGGTTAAACAATTGTTATTAACAGGCGCGTAAAGAGGGGGGGAGGTGTTATGGTGTTGTAACACCCCCCCCCCGGCTGTGTTATGATTTCACATTCCTACAATCTATATTATTGATTGTTATTTAGTAAATAAATAATAGCTGTGTAGCTGCATTATATGTATTCCTTAGATTACATATGATCTATATTGTATTGAAATTATTTTAGACATTATCTTGAAACGTTGTGTTATCTACTGGTAAGTACAGTACTATGCACATAACACTTAACAACTGTTCGGCCGTTCGGTGGTAGCATAGACCTATAAAGATTTCTTTATAGGTCTATGGGTGGTAGTAATTTGCACGGCTGTAGATAGACTGGTTACACGTAGGCCTATACCTCGCAATGTTCGATCTGCGACTACTAGAGTTCTTATCTAAAAATATTATGATCAAAATGTCGGACACTTATCAGTCCTGGCCTAAGTTTCCCTTCTGGTCAACAGATAAAGAAGAAAACTCCCCAGAATGCTTTAGAAGCTTTAAATGAGTATAATGAAGAAATATTCCCTACTATTTATCAACTTCTAACAATATTAGTAACTTTACCGGTGACAACGGCAAGTAGCGAAAGATCGTTTTCAACTCTACGACGTCTGACAACGTACTTAAGAAACACAACAGGTGAAAATCGCTTAAAAGGCATTGGCGATTATGAACATCCATCGTGACATAATATTAACCACTGAAGAAATAATAAATGAACTATCCATTAAAACCCGTCGCATGAAAATTTCATTTATGTATACATTACAAATTTGTATGATTGTAAGATTCAAAAAAATATAAAATTTTGTTAGGTTATACTTGAAATAAATATTTTAGATAACACTCCCCCTTTGGAATTCCTGGCTACGCGCCTGGTTATAAACAAATTTATAAAAGTATAATGCATCGACTTAAAAAATACTTTTTATATATTTTTTTCAGGTACCTAAACAGTTTTTTTTCTCATAAGAATTACCTACATTTTGAATAAAACCCCTACCATAAATGATTAAATATAATTATTTTTAAATGTTCATATATAATTCGATTTATCTATTCTAAAGTATTTTTAGTGATTACTATAAGATAATATATTAATAATATAAATTTAAATCTGAATGTTTTGACATTGGTTGCTAGTTCAAAATACTCAAATATTAAATATAAATAACTATAATATTAGTACTTATAGTTTTTAACCATCACAGTAAAAGTACATTATTAATTATGAGGATTCAATACCGACCATTTTTAAGGAGTTTTGTATAGGCAATATTTAACAAAATAGTGGTTTAAATAAATTTCGACCATGTTAATTAATTTACCGGTTAATTTGTATAAGCTACATGATGTTATTTTTTAATTTAAATTATTTTGTCTATGAGTTAAAGCCATTTTAGTTAATATAATAGTACATTTTTTATCCATCGCATAGGCCGAACCAGTAATCCAATAAGTAATTTAAAAACAGATTTAAATTCGTCATGAAGTTTACTTGAGATCCTACAAGGCACTTTTTTCAATTTTCAATTTTAACCCTTTACAAATTTGATTTTAAAACTTGAAATGTTATAAAATGTTCAAACGTATCATAGTAAAAAAAAGATATCAAAAAAGTACCTCGTAGGTTGACAAGTAAACTTCATAACGATTTTAAATCAGTTTTTAAATTACTTAAAAGCAGGAAATAAAAACGTAACGTTAATCAGTTCCATCTTGGGCGTATTTATTTTATTAATATTAGTTTTAGTAAATACTTGGTACCTAACTTTTGTATTTTAAACCCGTACATACCAACAGTAGTATTTCCAAATATCACCAATACAGACCGTGGCTTTTGTTCGAAAACTATGTCGATCATCAAATATTTATCTGATACATTAACTTTTTATCCGTCATTTAAATGGATTGTAATTACCGATGACGATACACTTTTGAAGTAACTAAAAGAGTTACGTATAAATGGCATTGTCGTGTCAACTGTGTTATATATTTATTTTGGTCTTAGCGTCTCGCGACTCGCGTCCATACTAAGCTGTTGGGACGGACAGGAAATAGCCTTGGACCAAATGTATATTGGAACAATTTCAATTTGGACAAAACGTCTGTTGGCATAACAGTGTAGCGGAAAAAAGGTGGTTGGAACAAATGTCCATTGGAATAATAAAACTTGTGGAACAAAAGTTAGTGATCCTTTATAATTGATTGAATTAGCTAGTATTGTTGTTTTTAAGGAATGGTGATAACAGGTACTTGATTACTGATAATAGATAATATTTCACAGACATTGGTAATTTATGCAATTTGGGAAAAGTGATAGCAACCCCTTCCCAGGTTTTTAATTAAAGTTTTGAGTGATTGGCGTCAGAAATATATTTTTATTTAACTATTTGAAAATTAGGTGATATTAACAGGATTTTATAAAACAACGAATTAATAAAAAAAAACCTTTCTAATAGAAAGTTAAATTATTTAATCTTTAATATAAAACCAAAGTAATTTTAATATAAATATCATGATCAAGTTTAATATTAAAAATCATCTATATATTACTAATTAAAATAATATTTTGCGCGGGAAATGGACTGCACGAAATATGACGCCATATTTCTCGCGGCTATAGGTATTCTTATCTGTAATAGCATTGATTAAATATACTATATTTAATATATTTTTTTGTATGTTTAATCTATGGTTATAGTTAATGAATAGTGTAGAGTTTATGTGGATTTATTATTGTATAATCCACCTCGGTTTAGCTCATTTTCTCTGTATCGTGCATATATTATGTTATAGGAGCAGGACGCAGGTTATCATGTCTATGGTCAAACTGCAAAAACGAGGTACTTGTCGTGCAAATGTCGTATGCAAGAGATATATGGAACAGCTCCTCTATAATTTTTATGCTCAATGCTAGTATGCTTTATAATAATACTAAGCAATTGGGTTTGTCAATCTAGTATCTACCTTGGTATTATTAGCCCTTAGGAGGCTTAGGTGATAGGTCTATGATTATCACAAATAACTTTTGTGGTATCATCCAATATATCATGATAACGCCATTTTTTACTACTAAAATGATACCAATTTAAAACTTAGCATCAGGCAAAACGAATCCCAATGACGCGCACATAAACTTTTTAAATAATAAACTTTGAATTTGTTTTTATTTTTTTGGTCAAAGTATCTGATCAATATTTTTTGAACACCTATGCATTATACAATGTAAAAACGGTAAAAAAAAAAAAATTGTTTGTTGAACAACCCAATTGCCATAAGCGTAGTAAAATAGCAACTATATTTTGGCAGTTACTTATTTAGCAGGTTCCAGAATGAGAATAATAGTATTTGGGAATTATCTCTTGGACACAATGTTGTGCAATGCACAAAGTTTATCGATTTGAGTTTTTCATGTGTTTTGGCCGCGCGACGGCGCAACACCGACCAAGGTCAGACGGGTGCCCCCGCAGAAGGCCCCGACGTGGCGCATTATGTGCTCTACCATAGTATAACTACACTACACGGCTGTTTATATTTGGCCAGACGGTTTAACATTGAGCCGAGTGGCGTCGCCGATCGCAGTTTCCTTAGTGGTGTCGTCCTGCGAACAAGTCTACGGTTTTTCAATCATTATCATTACAGTTTGTATTCGTTAGTCCAGCACCATCAAGATGTTTAACTTGGGAGGAGGTGAGCACAATATATACACTATATAATCGCATAGTATGCAAAAAGATATGTACAATATTAGTGTACTTTCTCATGCAAATAGAAAAATCTGATATTTTAACAAATACGCAGTTTTCTCGGTGAGAATGCAGCATAATACGATACTCCTATAAATTATAATAATTATTACTCGGTCAATAAGCCAATAAAACACACTTGCAGATGAAATATAACATCGGTATTAATAATTTAGTTGTTATTGTTTGTTGTTAGTAAGTTTGGAAACTAGTTTTACAACCCTATAAGACATTGTAGACCCTTTTATTGTTTCCTAATTATGACTTTTCAGTTTTTCTGATCAATTTATGAGAATATGGGTAGTGCACTACAGAATTATAATTTGTTTTTGTTTTTACAAACCAATTTTGAAAACCTAATTGTGGAGTAACAATATTATAGATTTATTCTTAAAATTTTTAAATCATGAAACAATACTATTTATTATTTATAATTGTTTTCTGATGTGCGGGTTCTTTTAGTAGTTTCTGCTCGCCTATTTTTTATATTATATTTATGGTGGTATTTTATACTTATATTTTGTATCAAACTCAATATAATTGGCGCCGGATGTTCGAATTTGACGTCACTGGAAACCTATAAATAGAAATACTTTAATCCAAAAGTCAAAACGATTAGTAAGGGCATCCTTTATATTCTATAAATTATCATATACGCTTAGCCCACTTTTTTCTCAATTAAATTTGACATATTATGTTTTTGTTCATTTGTAACCGTTCCATGCCGTACAGGAAATTAGATTTACTTTATTCAAGCACATCCGGAGTTATATGCAATTTGAACACGAAAAAAAAAATTCAATTTGCGTTAAAATTCTTTTGGGTGCGTTTAATTGACAATATGAAAGTTTAAGTAACGATTTTGGGAAGCTCAATTTTGTCTTTGATTAGGAATACTCCCTCGGTTGGCATGTCATTACTACTGTACAAACAAGACGTCGGATTCCAGTTATCTATTTTCTTCTATAAGCAATAACAATGCACTAAGGTATTTATGGAATTTTTGACGCCTAGGAAAAAATATGATTTTTACTATTTATAATATTCGTCTTATTAATAAACCATTTTATTTGGAAGTTCGTCGTTTAACGAAAACATTTGTGCGTTACTAATACATTTTATAAGTTCATTGACGCCACAACAGCTATTCATGTAACATTATGATGCATCTTTTTATTATTTGTACAGCTAAGATCCACTTGCTTAGGATAAAGCCAAAACATATTTGTGGTTTTTACTTTTTACACAAAATTATTTTTTAACTCTAAAAATCTATGATCGCATTTAACAATTGAAGTCCACAACGCAAAACTGAGAAAAACGATTTTCAAAGTTCCAGTCCCAGTGTTTTTTAGTTGTTTGTTTGTGATGTGGTCCAAAACTTTACAGCCCGATTGTGGCGAGGGAACCATCGTTTTTGCACGGGAGTCATTTGCAACTTAAACTTCAAGGTCTTGGGGAAGTGTTGCCAACCTTAACTAATTTTCGAGTTATGTGGTTTCATCGTTTTTGCCTTGTGTCACGTAAAATGGCACGAATAAACCGCTGGCGAAAAGGGGTTCGCATTATTTGGTACTAGAATAATGTAATAAATTAACTAAAGTTTTCTTTTTTGATCGGTATAAATATGTTGTAACTTGTAACTGAATACATAAATGATGAAAAAACGGTGTGTTGGAAATTCTACACCATGTTTTTTTATTATGTCAATAAAGCGGTGTGCCGATAAAAAATGTGATGAATAATCGATTTCAAATCATCAAAACAATATCGTATCAATTGACGAAAAAATTCATCGTAGTATTTAAACGATGATTTTAACTAAATGTATTTATTTGTATGTTATGTGCTATTATATAACACCTTCACACCGTTGCGGTTTTTCATATTTCAGCTATGAAAAATATCACTGACAAAGCCGAACATCTTTTGGATGAAAAGAAAACCGCCGCTGCCGGTCTACTTGAAAAACAAGTAATTTATTCAGCTCTTAAATTATTACATAATATATTTTTCACAGAGTACAGACATAAATTGTTTTTAAAGAAAACAACAATAATTTCACATTAAAATTATTAAATACCAATATGCATAATATATAAATTAATTAATTGTTATAGATTTTATTTTAATGTATCATGACGCTAATACAGTTGTTTTTTCAGTTATCTGAATGTGCTAAATGTGTTTCTTCTCTATTTGTGACCTTGGTCGTGAATTATTTTATTTATAGTTCTGTCAGTAGCGCTTGCGTAAATAATAGTAATATTTTTTTGCTAAACAAAACAAAAATAATTTATACGATACTTAAAATGTAATCGTAGAATATTTATGCGATCAAGACGAGTAAATGCATTCCCTTCAAAAACACACCACGTCTATCTCGGCTAAACCTGTTTTGTGTGCTTAATAAGTAATAACGTTACGACTACTCCTACGACGACAACAATAAACAAAATATGCGCATCTTATTATCTTACGATTTCCAATAGCTTATACTATTAACAATACATACAAAATAAATCGTATTTCACCTGAATATGACATCATGTTTGTGTAATTCAAGTCGGACAATAAATTATTCTATTTTTAAAAAGTTAATTAAATAACATTTGTTTTCATTTAAGTTTCAAAAGTCGATAGACCTCGAAAAAAAAATTATATTTAGTTATTTTATAATATTGTAAGATAACAAAAATGTTTTCACAAAGAAAAACTATAAAATTCAATTATTTTAATAGAAAATTAGTGTCTTTTCCACTATGAATCACCCTGGTCAGAGTTGGACATTAGTCAAATAATTTTTTATCTAAATTAAGTGATAAATAACAATTATCCATAATTCAATTATTTTTGAAAAATATATTTGTTATTTACTATACATCATTATTATTATTCAAATAATTATTTTATCCAATTAAAGTAATAAATTAATAATTATCTGATAATTTCCAATTCGGTTATTTATATATTTTTTTAATTTCGGATAATAGTTTTTATTCGTTATCTTTTATTTACTAGTTTTCCACTAATTAAAAGTTATCTATTATATATTGTTGTTTTACACCTACACTCAAGTTTCCCAACTTTTTATAAGTAGCAGTAAAAAAAGTTTTTTTTTATCTTTTTTTTTTCTTTCTATTGCATAATAATATTGCAACAACGCCATAATAAAGTACGATTGATAAGTTATACCTCCCTGCTCACTGACTTACATATGTGTTTGCTAACTACGTTATTCTCAGGTCAAGGAAAGTGCCGAGTTTTTAGCACATTCCATTAGTGACGCGGAAGTTAAAGCTGATGAGTCGAAGAAAGCGGCCATCGATGGCTTCGAAAAAGAAGTTGAAAAAATCGCCGACAATACAATGCAAGAGGTATTTCTTTTTTTTCTGAAACGGAAATAGTTAAAGAGCTTGTCGGTTATCGGTCAATTTTTTATTTAAATCTCTTGCGCACTGATTTTATAGTATATTATGACGTGTATTATACAAAATATGTTATAATAACGTTTGAACAATGAGCATGTTTATAAATATATAGATACTTACTTTATTTCCACGTACAACGCAATAATAACAATTTTTGTATAAGCTACATACAATTACACATTTTATTTGTGCATGGCTTTTTTTTAAATGTATTTATGATGTATCAAGTCATTTTCATTTGTAGAATTCTACATAGTAGTAATAGTGGTGGTGGTTCATTAGGTGACCTGACGCAAACGATAGGTCAAGTCTCTAGTCAAATCAAGGTTAGTATAATATTTACATGCTATAAAATATGTAAACGGGCATTTTTTCTGTTGTAGCTATAAGTAAAAAACATATACAACCATAAAAACATTGGCGTGACGGATCCGTAGAGTGTAATTTATGGGGAGTGGATATATTTATTTATATGTGGGTTAATTTGTTTGCTGTAAGTAAGGGAATTTTGACCCAACAGTACGGTTGCATATATGAATATTTTAGATGTCTGTACTTCTTTGAAATTGATTTTTTTCAAATATATTAAATAAGTATATGTTGTACCTACTTAACATTTGGTTTCAAACATTGTTGTAGTCAGGAAAGGACGGTAGCCATCATGCAGATCTTGACTTAAGCTCACTAATTGGAGGTGCCGTTAAAGGCATGATAGCCCCACATGTTGTAAGGAATTGTAGTAATGAGTGGATTTGTTTTAAATATGTTTTTTGGCCTATCCAATAAATTAACTAGAGTGGAATGAATTGATTGAAATAATAGAATTTAACTAAACATTAACAACAATGCAATATTGTATTACCATAACTTTTGTTTGTGTTGTATTGATTTAATATAACTAATATGAAGATCCTTATAGGAGTTGTTACTAAGGTATGAATTGGTAATACAAAGTATTAAGCAAAGTGATTGAATTAAGGAAATTATCAATTGGGTAGAAATTCAGTGTTTGAAATGGCAGTTACCAAGTAAAAGAAAGGTTAACATTTTTTTTTTTTGCTTTAACGTCGCGTGAGAGAAAATACGAGTATAGGTTAGGCCAGACAGTGCAGTATTACTATATCATTAAAAAAAATAGGTAGTATACACGATGTTACTTTTTTAGTTTTTTCAACATTTGAAGGCTACAAAGCGTTTTAATAGCCAGCTAGCGTGACCGCGTTAAAACATTTGCTGGCCTTCGGTCACATAGTTCTGAATCGATGTTGGAGTCAATTTATTTAACCTAGTTTCCAAAGGGTTTTAACAGGAAAGCTAAAAAAATTGCTCATTATTATTTTTAAACAGTTTTTCACAAAATAATACTTAAAAGCAGTAAGATATAATCCCATAAAGAATTGATGGTTGTAATTTGTATTATATGCTGCACATTTATTGTGTTTATTGGTTATTATCTACAAAGCATAATATACTATTTTCTTGATCAAGAAGCGTTTAAATAAAATCTGACTATTCAAAAAAATATATATTCTTACTAACCTTTTTTGGGAATACTAAAAAAATTCTTTGTTTCATATAATACGGTTATATGTTTAGTTTAACGGATTTGACTAAATAACTATAATAAAAACAATACAATATTATTATAATTAACTAATCAAATCCGTTAAACTAAACATTCATGTGGAAATTTGATTTTCATAATTTGTATAACAGCTATGAATATGAAACTTTAACCACATAACCTAATGCATGTTTAACTATACTAATGAACGCAGATTTAGCAAATTAAAAACGTGTTTTCATAGGCGTAAATATAAGGCGAGCACAGCAGTAATTGTTGCAGAATCTCGTTCCATTAATTATATCAGTATATACGTGTTAAATCGAGTTCAAACTAAAATATTTTTATAGGTCATTCGAACTATTGCAAATGAAAATCATTATGTTTCAATAGAATGGAAGTATTTCTCCATTTCCTCTGTTGTTGGCCTTTCTTTTTATTTTTGTTTACAGGAATGTCCAATCCATTAATTTCTACTCTTTTTGATACCTTTTTTAGACACTATCTTCAATACTTCTTCGTTGATCTCTCCAACTTATCTTAAGCTTACTTCTGTCACACCGAATTTCAAAAGGCTTTATTCGTTTTTTTTTCAATTAAATTCTCCTCCCAAGAACGCTTAAGTTATTCCAGACCGACCTGCCAAAAAAAAAAATTATACCTATGAAACTCACGGTTAGGTACTACTAATGCATACTGCACAATGTATTAAGTTTGACGAGCACGTTATGATTAAATTCCCGCCCAAAACCACAGGAATCTACACCTGCTGTGGCTGAACCCGGTCCACCTCCTACAGCGGCCAACATCAGTATGCATAAAGCGGCCTTGGATCAGGCGGTGTCCGAAGCCAAATCTCTGGTGGACAAGACATCAGCCCAGCTGAAACCGGCATTGGGTCAAATCGTACAGGATAAGGTCAATCCGTTGGCGCAGGACATCGCGAAAAAACTGCAGCCGGTCGCCGGCGACGTTTCCGGTCATGTCAACACGGCGTTGGCCGAAGGCGTCAAGCAGCTGAACCCCGTAGTGGATGACGTGGCCGCCAAAGTCAAGACTTTTACAGACGACGCCACCAAAAAGGTACGCCAGCGTCCGTGTGACTGTTACATACGGTGACATAGTTTCAATGAATTTATACTATACGACATGTACTACCTTTCCAGTTTACTCAATAATATTAATTGATTCATCATCTATAATAACAAATAATGTTAATTATCAGGGTCGGACTGACGGACACATTCAAACTATCTCATCCAATACTACTGTAAACAAAAATGAGCAGTATTTCAAATAAACTTTGTATTTAGTAGCGCAATAATACATCAAATTGTTCTTTTGCTTGAGTTTTTCATATTTCAGATATATGTTTTACATATACATAAATATAATATAATATGATAATCTATTGTTGTTTAAATTTGTTTATTAACTATAAATAATCTTGCATCAAAGATTAAATATCATAAAAAGGTTACCAGAAAAGTGCATGACCCCCCCCCCCCACCAAAAAAAGTAAATAATTTACACCAAGATAATAGTTATACGATATAGTTTTTGAATCCGTCCGACGCTGATAATGATAATGATTGTTATTAATATTACTTATTACAAAACTGTTGTCGTGTGTGACGCTAATATAACAAGTACACTTGACCCTTCGGGTTATATCGTTTGCTTGCTAAAAAAAAAAATCAGTACACCGTGATTGATTTTGGTTCATTGGTGGAATGTCTTGTGTGATCTTAAATAAATTGACGATTGTATTGTATTCAGGTCCATGATAGTTAATATATGATAAATTAATGTAAACCACTTGAATAATCGACAATTTGTATAGGTATAAATTCGTCACTAACATCGAGGTGAGACTTAAGCATGCATATTACCCACCGACAATATATATATATATATATTGTGTTTTGTAGAAGTTTTCACAACACCGTCTTATTATTTTTTTTCTATTTTATTTTATAGTAATAGTATTATTCTTTATTTTTAGTTAGTAGTTTCTATACTTACGATGTACCGACCTGTTAATTTATTTGTATTGTTAAAAAACGCCCAGCTGTCGTGTGCCAGACTTAATTTTTATTTTATTTTTTCCCCATTAGGTTAGCGATGCAGTGGACGTGAAGCTTAAGGAAGCTGATGAGCTGTTGGCCGAGAAGCGAGAAGCTCTCGGCGAGCCAGCTAAAAACATGTTTACAAAGGCCAAAGGATTGTTCGGCTGTAAGTCGGGTTGCTGTACTATCATGTAGTATAAGTTGCACAATTTTGCACAAATCTCAAATGTACAGTTGTACACCACTCTCTGTTGACGTATATACGTATATATTGTATATTATATACATATATATATACATTATGTATGCACCTGCTGCCAGTAAGGGATCTAAGTTTGACTGAATAAGGTTTTATTATTTTTCATTGCAATTATTTTTTACATACATTTTTATTTTTTTTACGAATGATGTGTCTTTTTTAATAAAACGTCTGATGTGTGTATATTTTGATTTTCATGACAAACATTAAAGACTGTTACAAATCATATAATAGTAACTAATTTTTATACTCGATTTCCATATATCAATACTAATCGCTAATATAATAATATTATTGTGATTCGAAGCAAACCTGGGAATTTTTTACTTGTATAGCAAACAACATAGACAGCAATTTGAAAAATCATGGGTTATTTAAAATATATTTTTATTTAGATTACCGAATAATATTTTATATTTTAAATACATTTTTGTTAACTGTATCGATTAAATGTTTATTTACTGTTTCAAATCATTTGTTATAATAAATATATTTTTTAAATTATTTGTTATAATTTTATTTAAATAAAAACATATTTTATTAGATGCGCCCAGGTTTGATTCGAAGCAATAAAATTGTTTGTTTTATTTTTTTCACCCTAAAAATAATTTTTTTAATAAATAAGTAAACATAAAACCGTATTAGAATTTTAACAGTGTTTTTGTTCCTCTTACGCCCTCGTCATAGATATTTAAGTAAAACAAATGTATGGCTTCAGGTTAAAAATAGACACTGCACTCAATGACATTTTGCTTTTTTTTTATCCTTTAAATTTTTATTTACTTAACGGTTCTTGTAGGTATTTTATTTTTTAATAATTTCACTTAGATCGGTTTATTGTCAAATGAAATTGTTTTTACTCCGTTACCCACGGCATTTGGCCATGGACAAAATTTGGTTATTATTTGATTTAAAAAATAATTATTTAAATAACCATTCATTAGAATAAATCACTAATAATATTCTAATCATTTTGTTGTATTTCGAATAATTTTATTTGTAAATTATAAGGTTTTTTTTTAAAATGATGAAATATTCTTTAGATTTAAACGAATACGAATATTTGATTTTTTAACTTTAAATATTCGTTATTTAACTGAATTTTGTCCAACTCTAGTTATGTACGAGACAATATACTTTTCCACTAGTCTAAGTTTTATGGTTTTATCTGAAAAATAAAAATGATTGTGTAAAACAAACTGTACTATACTGGTAGAAACACTCGATTTAAGATTATCATATGCGTATATTGGTTGTTAAACTTACCTAACTCGTCATAAAAAAAAAAATACCCAAGTAATAAAATATTAAGTCTATGTAACATAGCAATAAATGGGCCATATAGTCTGTAAATAAATAAAATGGATTTAAACGCAATATACTAATTATTTGATACACATATAATACACGATATAATATGGTCATCACCATGACTGTATGCCAATATTAATGTTTCATTAGTTTGCTACGTCTCAGTTGTCACTGTAATCAGCAATGAATTGCACAGGGTACGTCATAATATATTCCATATTGGTTTACAGCTTACATATCAAATTAGAATTTTTATATTTCTCTGTACGGTGACCTAACCTAACCGTTGTTGTTATTATACGATCCAATTCGACTTTTTGTCTTTACGCGGAGGACTATGCTTGTATCATAATTTACAAAAAAATTGATTAGCCTGATGGGGTTATTTTGTTTCTTACATATTTTCTAGTCCACTTCATAAGATAATACAATAGGGGTGCTATCGAAAGTGGAGGGATCCCAGGACTTACATTGGCATCTCTATTATTTCTGAACTTAATTAGCCGATGTGATCACATTAAAACGAAATATTGAAGCTAAAATGTCCTACTCTCTAATAGTCTAATTTGAAAAAGTGAAATTGCACCACAGTTAGGTATGCCCAGAAACAATAATAGAGAATACTATCCCAGAATCCAGATTTTATAGAAGTCGGTAACAAACACTGGCAACACTGTTATGTTATGTGATTTTAAAACAAAAACCGAGAAATACATACTATTATTTCACTGAATCTGAATCTGATTCCGACTTCAGAATTGTTAGTTTACGAATATTTTGTTTTAAGTCGCAAAACAAGGATGTTTTGGTATGTTTATTGTGTTTTGCACGTGTATATGTACATTTCTAAAATTTACTCTAAATAGAGTTTATGTTTTATTTTCTTTGTGGTATTAAAAACGGGTCTTAGAATTATAACCTAACCTTTAACACAAAAAAAAAAAAAATTAACAAAAATATTGCTTAATCGGTTTTAGGCCACAGATTTAATATCTTAAAATTTTTTTTTGAACATCAAAAAATATTTAAATTTGCTGCCAACTGGATAGAGAAAAAATAGACAAGGCCAGCTTTCGATTCTTTAAAATAAATCCTGTTTGAATATCATTAAAAAATTAAATAGTTGGCAGGTACTAATGTTGAGTATATTTTTTTCCAGTGATAATTCGACTACAAAGAATAAATAAAATTAAGTTATTTTAATGTAAAACGATTTTTTATCGCTTCTATAATATCGTACCTACGTTAGTGAACAGTGAATACAGTCAAGGTTACTGCGCGATTCTAGAATCCAAAATAAAAACAAACGGGTTGGCGGATACACTTTGTTACCTCCTACAACCGGTTTTTTAGTTTAGTTATTTAATATGCCACTAGGTGCTAACGTTTAAAAATAAAAAATATAATTTGAAATATATATATATATATCACATCACACACAAACACTGGATTAAAAAAACATTAAACTTACACACCTGAAGTAGTGTCACTGGACGTTCCCTTCACTCAAGTCGTCCAGCTTTGTAAACAAAAAATTAGCCATTTCACTTATTGTACATATTAATACGGATTGTAAATACTTCCAATAAAAAAAAATATTACTTTTATGGTCGGGTTACGAAATGGGGCAGAACATATTTCAAGTTATAGCTTAATTTCTCACCAATAAAGAGTAATACAAATATTTGATTAATATGATCAGCCTTTGAAATGACAATTGAAAAAAAAACATTTATTTAAAACTGAAACCTCTTTCAATGCAATGAGTACAGCGATGTCATTTATTATATATATATTTATAGGCAATGAAATATTGATACATTTATTAATTCAAGTTACCATTATAATAGTTATGTACCGAAGTGCCTATACTACATATTTAAAAAATAGTTCAAACAAAATAAATATAACTCAGTTGGCAAAAAGTTTGGATATTTTATAATTATTTTTGGCCAGTAACGTACGTTTTTATTGTGTATTAACTAATTAGTCCGATTGCTAATAGCATTTTATAAGCAAAGTATTGATTAACAATATTATTTGTATAATGTGAATATTAAAAATTGTATAATTTTATTATTTTTCAGAAGTCAAACATTTGCACCCATGGCAATAGCCAGAATAGCGATTTAGCTCTTCGATTTACAACTTTACACTATACAGCTAATATGCATTCGTTTTTAATCCTATAAAGATTTAAGTACCTATATTATACGACCTGAGTGTCACGCTTTAATTTTAATTTTTTTTAAACGTTCCTTAAAAGGTATTATTCATTTTGGTATTATTTTTATTATTATGAAATTATTTTTATTTTAAACATTTTCATCTTTCATCGTTAATCTTCGTTTTCATTACACTATTTCATAAAATAAAATAAACAATTGTTGATTTCTTATCCAAAAATGTTATAATTTTTATAAATTAAATTTATTAAGAGCAAACCTCTTACATTACTATTATTGTTTTTAAAATGGTTTTTTTTTTATTTATATAATGAAATAACACAGCTTGGCTATTTTTGTACACGTCATTCGACATAATTAAAAAGAAAAGAAAAAAATGTGTACCAGAAATATAATATAATAAATAAATATTAAATATATCATCTCAATATTATATTCACAAACAATAAATGCATTTTTTTAATAACCAATACACTAAATACAAAATTAATGAGTTTTATTTTCAGTTTCAAACTCTGTTTACCATTTTTCAATGATGCTAGAAAATGGGTTAGAAATTTATTTTTAGTGTTGATATTTCTATGACAAGTGAACGCATGTGAACTATACAAATAATAATGGGTCTTTGTCAGCTTTTGAAATAGTAATTTGTAAATTTGGAAAATGAGTGTGAAACTTCTTGGCAAAGACTTTTAAATATCCTCTTTCACTGTTGCTGTGATTGGACAATATGACTGCTACGTTATTGTGTATTGCATCCAACACATCGTGGTGTGACATTTCTCCTGTTATGTACAAATCGGCTTTAACTCCGTGCAATAAAGAAGCCCCCGAACCAGCGACCGCTGCCGCTGAATTGATGGTCGATTCTATTTTGTACGTAATTAATCAACATGTCAAAAAATACAATTTTTATACATATATATGTAAAATAACTAGAATCTATAATAAATACCTAATGTCATTCCTTTTGGCAATGCTAGCATTAAATTGTTAACGCCCAAGTGTTGCTTTAGCATATCCACGGCTTTGCCGATCGTAAGTGGACTTTTAAATTGACAGTATCGTCCATTGCCTTTTGTAGACGAAGGAAACTGAAAAATAAATGTATATACAAAACACAAATATTAGTGTTGAGAAATATTCTATTATTAGAATAACCTGTAATAAAATATTCGAGACTCGAATCTAAATTAAACTTTAAAAAAATATTGCGATTTGATCAAATTTACCGGTTCATTCTTATTGACGTGTAGGGCTACACGTTCAGTTGACTGAATTATCATTAGTTCACTAAGGAATTTTGTGTTGCACAATATTTGAATTTGATCTGCGGAGTCGTTGGAAATTCTATGAACAGCAACATCAATATTATAGTCGTTTAGAAATGGTTTAAGTACGCATAAAAACAATCCGTCTTACACAAAATTTGTGTTATATTGAGAATGATACTTTTGTTCAAAGTATGTTCTGTCATACTTGACAGCACTATGTGTCGTTTCATTATTTTTTGGTATTGTTTTTGGAATAGTTACAACAAAATTAAACTTTAGCTTTTCAGTCATCGGTTGAATTGGAGTTACAGTACCATCTAAAAAATAAAAAAACTTAAGTATCTGACATCATTAATTGTATTAAATATTTTTTAATCTATAAATTAACTTACCAAAAATACTTATCAACCAGTCAGTGAGTCCGCAGTCAACAGAATCCCACGACGTGTGTGGTGAATAAACAGCAATTCCTTTTGCCAAGCATCCACTAACTATACGTCCCTGTAAAGTAATTTACAATTTAGCAATTTGCAAAAGAAAACAACTATTAATATTATAATATGTAATTGAACTCATTTAACCTTCCACGTATCGTTTGTGATCCTCTTGAGGGGCGAAAAGACCGGAGGATGATAGGATATAATTAGATTGGCATTTGCGATTGTTGCTTCTTCGAGTACATCTTCGGTTAAGTCGTTGGTAAAAAATACATTTTCCACAGGTTTTGTGACTGCGGGTTCAATCAATAACCCAACATTATCCCACGATCCTGCTAGCGATAATGGAGCCAATTCATCTAACTTGCTCACTATGTTTTTTAATTCGAACATCTTATTGCAGGAAGTTGAATACCGTTTCACCAATATCGATCCTATAAATTCTGTGTACCGTTTCGGCAATAACGGTCCAATAAATCCTGTGGACCTTTTCGGAAGTATCGGTCCAATAAATCCTGAATACAATTTTAATAACATTAATAAATATCATTGGTTTTATACATTTTTTTTTTCAATTTTACAATTTTTCGACTATTGCACTCGTTGTGTTAAAAATTATTCTGTGTGTTTTAATCTAGCAAAATCCAAGTCCAAAAACGTTATCTTACCAACCAACTTTTACCAATACTCGTTTTATAATATAACAAGAAAATGAGCAAACAAGACTTTTATATATTTTTTTAATATATGATATAATGATGTAAATAAATAATAATAATAACAATAGAGTTACTTATAATTATATTAATATTAAAACATTGAATTAGACAGTTTCAACCTTCCAGATATTGATAAGTCCATCGTCACTACACGACGCCAAAATTCCTTTTACTACTGGATTCCACTGTACGGAATTTATGTCTTGTGAATGTGCATTGCTTGTGTGAATAATACATGAAAACGACGGTTGGTTTCGGTCGGACATTTCGTCTTCTTTAAATATTCTAATTGAATTATCACCGCAGGCGGTAGCTATCAGATCCGTAAGGTGACACCATGAAACATCGTAAATCGGCCGTGTATGATAACCACTTATTGTGCAAACACATTTAAAAACGAAATTACCTTCTTGAACAGCTATTCCTTCAGCATTACCTAAAAAAAAAAAAAAATTAGAACTTGAATAAACAAAAATGTTTGGACATTTCAAAAACATTTATGTACCGCGTACGTATTTCTGCCATATTTTCAATGTCTTATCATCACTACTCGTAACTATTCTATCGCCCGTCTTATCAAATGCTAAACTCCAGACAGTCGACGAATGTGAGCTGAGTGTGCCGACACAAGTCCACTCTTTATCCGCTGTGTCTTCCATGTACAATTTTACATTATTGTCATAACTTGCAGAAGCTAATATATCTTCATGCGGATGCCATACGACTTTTTTTACATCCTGTGAATGAGCGTTTAAAACAGCGGCACACTCGTATTCATTGTCTTCCCACACCTCCCAAATCCATACGGATTTATCACGACTACAAGTAGCCAACATTGAGCCTGATTTGGACCACGCGACACTCTTAACTTCATTTTCATGACCTTCTAGGGTGGCGTTACATTCAAATTGACCGGACTTATTATCCCAAATAGCTATAGTAGCGTCAAAGCTGGCCGAAGCCAAATTTTGGCCACAATATGACCAGGCAATTGCTCGAACAGTTCTTTGGTGTCCATCAGCTAACAGGCATTTTAATGCGCTTTTATCACCATCTTTGTAATTCCAAAGTCTAATTGTTTTGTCTTCTCCACAAGAAGCTAACATTTGTCCTTTCGGATGCCACGCTACATTCCACACAATACCGGAATGACCTTTCAGTGAACAAACAGCTTTTAACTTTTCCATTATTGCATAGAACTAAAAATCTGCAAGTCAAAATAAAAAAGATTTACAAGTCAATAGGAACTAAGAATATTGATAAATACATTTTTTCCATCTTAAAATAATTTTTGATTTAAATTCAGATATTTAATGAAATGTGACTTACACTCAAAACTTTTTTTGTGCTTTCTCAAGATATGCGTTTTATAATATTTTAAAATCACTTTTAAAAATGAATATTTTATAATCCATAAATAAACTTAACTGTTAACTACAATACTGAGCTTTAGAGTTGAGTAAACAAAAGTATAAAAAAGTTACCGAGTTTGTTTTATATTATAGACATATTTCATAAATAAAACCCCCAAAAGTTCAAATAAGATTTCAACTCGAGTTTAAAAAATATGATTTTTTAATGTTGAAAATCGGTTACACGTTTTTTCAAGAGACCAATTTTAAATATTAACATACACTATGTATACAAAATGTGCCAAAAAAAATTGGAATAATTGGCAGTATATGTGGTTCAAAAAATATATACTAGGCAAAATATTAAAACATCAACTATAGTTGTGTTGAAATTAACACACTATTGTTTATATAGAAAAATATTGATAATAAATATTTGGTCTTTTACCTTTGACAGAAGTATGACAGTTACTGCTAAACTCTATAAAGCGAACAAGTCTGTTTAAAAACATGTATAAAATGGGTAATGAATTTATGAGTGTTTTTCTTTTTCCTTAATGTACTAGACACAGTAAAATTTATTTTCGAATTTTACTTCTATTTAATATAAATTTACGGGAGTTCCGCTGGTAATATAATCTGATAAGAGGAACCAGGGGTTCCCAAATGGCTAAAAAAACAGTGTTTGGGGCAGCTCTTCCAAAATATGATAAGAGATAAGAGTTCTTCCAAAAGATAACACAATTTTTATTTTATCAGCGTGTGTATTTCTATTTTTTTTTTATAATATAAGAAAAGTATACATTTCTTAATAAATAGAATGTAGACAGCATTAATAACAGAAAAATCATGACTGATGTAGGTATCTATTCTATACATAATATCACTTCTATTTATTTTTACTTGATACTTTACTTCCTTTGTTTTATTGTATTTTAAGGTATAGTGTGATTGAAGAAAAGCATGTTGTTTTTGGTTCTACTTCCTTAAGAAATTTAACTAAAATAATAGAATCATGAAGAGACTTTAATAAACATTTTTAAAGATGTAGTAATTATAAGAACAAATGAAACAATAAATAACAACACAAATTTGTTTAGACGTGTCTTAAAAAGATAAATAAAATCCCTAAGCTGTTACGTACTAAAATATTCAGGATACTTTTGTGTGGTATTAAAACTTTAACTTCATTGTAGAGATTTGATTATCGCTAAGTAAATGGCCATGTTAAATGAATAAGTACTTAGATTAATAAAATATGGGCTATGCAATCTTCTATCAAATATGGACATTTTCAAATCAAGAGATAATTGTAAATTTGCAAATTTATATTGACCAAAAATTTAATCATATTTTTTAATCGTTTGAATAACTATTACTGAACAAATTCATATTGTTTAGTTTGGTTTATTTAATAAAAATATATATCCAGAGTAGCTTAATATAAACTAATTTCTGTAAAGTATTAAGTGAATAATAATTATTTAAAACACCTACTAATAGATTATAAATAACATTCAGTCTTGCAAGGTATTTTAATACCGACAGTTAAATACTATTTTTGATAATTCGTTATTAATTATTTAATTATTATATATAAACATTTTGTATGGCATGGGATAATATTTAGTTATAGTTTTCCTTTTTTTTAAATTCAGTAAGACAATCAGACTGATTTGATAATCTCACCAACATATGAGCGAGTTTGCATTAAATTACATTATATATTTATTAAGTATAACGTTTATACGATTACGACCCTAGTTTGATCATATTTATAATATAACATAATTGTTTAATCTAGTTTACATTAATTTTATAGTATGCCATATTCTTATTATCCCATGCAACAATTTTTTTTCTCTTCGTAAGTCTTTATCCGGCAATAGGTTCACTTTGGACTATCTACTTATATTGTATATATTGATTTGTGTGGAAACTTGAAAATTAAATATATGTTTTATTCTAGTTATTTATGTTAGGTATTAAAACTACGAGTGTCATATGTTCCGTTTTCCTTGCTCTAATGTATCCTTTAGGTACTAAATTTTGTTAATAATATATCTTCTAAAATTCTAGATTGAAGACAAAGCTCATAAAATCCTACTTGTATTCTTTAACTACAGAATACAGATGTAAGTTGTGGTAAAACTAATTTATACTCGACAGCCAAATTTTGAAATCGTCAACGAATTTAGGTAAAAAGTAAAATGTTTTATTTAAATAGTAATATAAAAAATTTGTGGGAAATTTTAATAAAATTATTATTATTTTATACCAAATAATATTAAGTTATAACATAACTTATAAGATAGGTGTATACTATAATATAATGTAATATACAAATTACATCCTGTCAAACGAGAAGAGGGGAAAGCGGGCTCCGGTGTGATTAGTACTCGGCCACCACCGGGTCGCGATGCGACCGCGTCAACGCCATAGCAAGTGGCATGCACAAAGTGCACGGACAGGTGTTCCTTGGCCTTTAGCGGTCTTAAGAAGAGGTGACCTGTCAGAAGCTTACGTCAGTTGCGACCGAGGAAGTCTTCTCTCTCGGCTCGTAGGCGATTCCAGAGGGCCAGCAGGAGCAGATCCATCGCCGATGCTCGCCTTCATCTCGAGCCTGAAGCTGTCTGACGCCAAACGGTACCGCTGTAAAAGCTAAAAAAACTCCGCAATAGACGATTAAACACAATTGGTTAACGTCATAGCGAATGCCATGCACTAAGTGCACGGGACAGGTGTTCCTTGGCTTCAGTGGTTCACCCCGAAGGGATCCCCTACGACTGCGGCCCGCCAAGTAGCACTGAGGGGTAGATTCTCGAATGTTTGTCGCTTTCGACAAAATTTGGTCGCCATTTTAAACCAATGGTGAGAAAATGTTGTCGAATTCGATAAATATTCGAGAATCGGCGCACAATGGGTGAAACGATAAATTTAGGTGGACAAAAATATGAAACATTACTATTTATACCAAAGCTGCATTATTTGTATACTAAAAGATTGAGAAGACCTGTAGTAATTAAATAAGGGCTTAAACACAACAATTTACAATATTTTATTAATACAGTTTACAATTTACAATAGAAATTGTCACTAATATTACACTAAATCTAGTTACAATTTCAATGTTTAAACCAGTAATTTCTGCGGAAATAATAGTAGGTGTAAGTATATGTATAGCGGTTGCGGTCGCGGTCGCGGATAAAAAAACCGATACTTTACTTCCTTTGTTTTATTGTATTTTAATGTAATTATGTAAAGTGTGATTGAAGGAAAGCATGTTTTTTTTGGTTCTACTTCCTTAAGAAATTTAACTAAAACAATCACGTTGAAAGTTTAAAAAGTTAAAAAAAAAATCGTGACCATAGTTTTATTTACTTAATCCATAAAGCAAACTAATTTTAATATTTTAAAAATGCTGTCAAATATACAATTTTGTAAACCTACGTGGATAATTTACTCGTCGTATGTTATTAATACACGATAAAAGCTTGTAGAATATTGGGTTTCAATTCATTAAAATAAACTGTTGGACATAATATATAACAACTGTTTCTTGCCCAATACCGTAGACGATTCAATGTCGTGTAACTGTTGGTGTAACTTACAACTGCACTCATTTCCCTTATTGAGCGTTATACTCAAATTTAAACAAATAAATTAATATTTTTAATTTCGAACACAATTTATTTATTATGTTAAAACATTTAGCAATTTTTTAAAAAGGAGAATAATTCATATTATTTATAACATAAGCGAAAAAAAATGTAAATGTTTATATACAAATGGATGAAAATAATGAACCCAAATAAGTTGCTTAATACTATAATATATAATTTAGATATCAAAGTAAGTTCTATTCTAGATATTGATAGTCTCTTATATATTTGTTTTGAGCTTCCCGGCTTATGTTATAGAGTGCTGCCATTTGTTCATTAGTGAAGCGTACTGGATCCCTCCCAGTTCCAATGCAAACTTGTCTTATAAGCATCTTAAATAAATGCACATTAATATTGTCTAAAAAAGCAAAAACAGAATTGTTCAGTTCCGATGCTAAGCTAAGAATGTTACATTAGTTTTAAAATTATGTTTTTTTTATTTCGATGCCCGAAAACACAATAACTTGATTTACTGGACCGACTTATTTGAGTAGCGTCCAGTATTGATTAGAAATCGATTGGTATGATTTCTTTGGCTGAAATTTGAAAAAAAAACTCCTTGAACATTGGATTAATCCTCAATTAATATTACCAAGTACTCGAGTTTTAATTTTAACAGTGCCCCGTGCCTTTGTGTGCATGCTAGTACGTTTAATGCACGTTAAAGGAAAAATAACAAATTTAAATATCTATAAATCTCAATTGGAATATTTTCCTATGACCAATAGCTTTATTTTAGCTAAAAAATTATAAATGACGTACAAGTAATGTTTACCTTGGTTTGTCTTTTCGCTTGGATAAAGTGTAAAGAACCCATTTACTAACATTCTATGCGTATCAGAATGACCCACAAACGTATAAAATTGATTCATTGTAATATTAATATTTGGTTGATTCGGTGGTATTCCCAACCAATTTTTCAAGTATGCATAAACGCCATCTAGACGCTAAAATTTGTAAGTACTAATATTATTATTATACAATGATTCTTTAAGAGCAAGACACTCATTTTCCCAGAAACTAAATGCAATTTTGTAGTTTTTTCTTTTTGGAGACTATTTAGTTTATGTTGTATTATTTCAATTTTGTTTTCAACCCGCAAGTTGGTTTACATTTCCTCTTCTCCATTCTAAACGGTCACTCGTCATCTGTCATTTTAAATAGTAACGGATATATTTAATACATTTTTTAAATAAAAAAATAATTGCTGGGAATGTAAAATGGCCGATAACTAGCTTTGGGGTTAGTTACTATTAAATTTACTTAATTTTAAAATTCAAGACGGCATTTATGGTGCGGGAAAGTAATGCGGGCAAAACAAAATAATACTTAATTCCACCCTTCTTCTCGTCCTAAATTTTAAAGTTTAATAACTTTAAATGTAATTATCCAAAACTGGTTATCAATCAGTCTTAAATTTTCAGCAAATAAATCTTATTAAAAAAAATTATATATGTTTCAAAAACTGATGGCGCTATGGAAAATACTAAATAGGTAAATTATTTGATAAATTGATTTGTATATTGTAAAAAAATATAAAGACAAAATTCCAAAATTGCGGTTATTAAAAAAATGAGCGACTTATTTTTAATGAACCATCCTGTTTAAAAATATGATACAAGTAATATTATATGTGAAAATATAAAACCATTACCTCGTTATCAGTAGGGTTTGCACACAGTACAGGATTAGCAATTAAAAAAATTGATATTAACAAATTAGTGAGCATCTTATTATATTTTCTAACGTCAATTGAAGTTTAACTCAGCAACGAAATGAATAATTGGTTTTTACTATGATTGCAGGTTATATAGTAAATTAAAAAAAAACAAAATGTAAATAATAAATATATTTACATCGTAGTATAAATCATTCAATACATTTAAATAAAAATCATAAAACGGTATTATGTTTGTTTTATTCGTGAAGCAAGCAGAGAATTCATTGGTTTTACAAAGAAGTGATTTTTTTAACATGATAATGTTTTTAGGCCAGAGTCAACCAAGAAAATTAATGAGATTCCTCATTCCGAATTTGAACCAGAAAAAATATTTAAATGACTACCAAAATAAAACCGCAATAATTTTGGTTATATGCATTTTACTATTGTTCAACGTTAAATTTGGGGGGAAAAATGATTATCTACTATTCCGGATAGCCTCGTACCTTATTGTTTACAAATTAATTACAGACCATGTCTGTACCTCTAATCTACAATATTTACTGTTTACATCGTCTTATAATCCCCAAACTATCTTATTGTTAGAGTTTACCTATTGTTAAGTATCTTAAATAAAGATAATTGTTAAGGTCAGACTTTTTACGACCTCTCATCATACTTGCTAAGTGTTTATGTTTTGATTACTTTCGCATATTCTTATCGACTCATGATCACTTTCACTGCATCGAAAATTCCAAAAACAACAAACTATCGCAATGTGCCTCACTACTGTTTTTATTTACTACCCCAACGCAGATCGTTTTTACCATATTATTGGAATGTCATATTTTATATTTATAATAAATAGTCATTTTAAGGTGTGTTTGGTTTTTTCAGAAAATTATTTTGATTAAATAATAATTCAGTACGGCGTATAATCAGATAATAACAATAATTTACACACCTTAACAATTTTAACAAATATTTCACTCCAAATGGTTTTCACCTTTGCCCTACTGTGCAGGCTTTTTTAACTCATTGTTAGATATTTGTACAAATTCCATTCCGACGTGAAATTTACATTACATATTTAAAATAAGTCTCATTTCGAATTTTTAATGTATAAAATCACTACCTACAAATTTAAGATTTTTTTTTAAAATTGTGTATGCAATTGATATACCTACTAACAGTCAAATGTTATAATAAATCATAAGTTGACAAAATGCTCAAAGCAAACATTTTATTTTTAGTTTTGTGCATACAGATGTTCTGTTATTTATTCTGTAACTGCCATAATATTGCAGGGGTGTTCATAATACAAAAGACATTACATTTTTAATAAAACCTCTAAACCAAATACAGATAATGATTATGTTAACCTTGTATCAAATTTGCACAAGTTGCCTCTTTAAACATTTAATACGTGACTTATGTATCTATTAAAATTGTAAGATTTGTGATTTCACATAAGCATATTATTTTAACTATAGACGACAAAGCGAGTGTTAAAAAAAGTTATAAGACACAAGAAAAAAACAATTTAATATAATACAAAAATCAGGCTTTGTAATTTTTTAAAGGATCTCTGTCAGGTTTCCCATTTACTCTTGAAATTCGCTGAAATAAAAATCGTAATCCAGTAATAATATAAAAATAGCATTTTTAAAACTAGAAAATGTGTTTTTGATGGTTGAGTATTTATTTCTCTAAATTGCGCTCCATTCAATCAAACAATATACGAGTAATATCTGTTTCTAAACTATCATTAAATTAATTATTAATTATTTATACGATTGTCACAAACATTTACCAAATAACTTGTTTATAAAAAAATCCCATGCAAAATACCTATAAAACTAGAGCCAACCGGAACAGAATAATACAATTTTTTAAATCGAGGCCGGTAATAATGCCACCCATTGTTGGTCTCACTATAATTTTAGACAGTTTTAAACATTCCTCTCGCTCTAAATTGCACCTTATTCCATCACAAATAAACCTGTTTCCTCTTTTCAACTAGTCCAACCAAACTTTCAGCTTAACAAATATTTGTTTAATTTTTTCAAAATATTGTCAAAACGGTCGTAAATATTAAATAAATCATGTTTTGGTAGGAGATAAAAAAATATTGTTCTCGCACGGGAGGTAGAGTCAAGCGCACAGAAAAAATAGTACTACAATCCACCCTCCTCCCGTCCTAAAACTTAGACTTTAATATCGTAAAAATGTAATTTTCCAAATTGATTAATTTTTTAACCATTCAAAGTTCTCAGTACTTCACAACAAGTGTATTTTGAATTTAATAATGCATAATTTACTAAAAATTTTAAGATATAGTCACCAGGTCGAGCAGTCAAGAATAGTAAAAAAAATTAGGGAAAACCCCTACTATAAAAAATGTTTATAAAGATTATTTAAAACGTATAATTTCCTTTTAAATAAGGTATTGGAATGGATTTTTTCATTTTTCTTGTCGTACTTAATAATTTCTTTCTGGCATTATTACTTTTATGATGTTATCACAAATTTTGAGGCTCCTACTACTGCAACATTCTTCAAAATCTTGATATTCTAATACTGTAATCCAATAGAAATAAAGTTCTTTAGGAAATGTTGTTTTTTGTATTTTTAACAGTTGGTTTTTTTTTTTCAATCAAATAATATTTTTAATTAACACATTTTTGTAAGTTAACGGACGACGTAAATTAAAATATTTAATGAGCAATACAAAAAATTATATATTCGTATGTTACAATTTTATTCTATTTTTTTCATTATAATATATATATATATATACACCTAAAATTAAAAAAATTGGTGAAAAAGCAAATTTTTAAATTAAAATTTATTAACAATGTAAATCAAATTTTTGACTATATAGTATAGTAGCTAAGCAGCTACACTGTAGTATACTAAACGTTACTACTTTCTATTGTAAAAAAACTCATGACAATTTAATGACGTATGTTATATATTTTGTACAAGCTACTAAATAACTAAATTGATAGTGCTGAACCTCTATCCTTGATATTCTTTCTTATGCCTTTTATTCCATTCATATCACGTTTTTAAAAGTTTCCTCGCTTACACCGAATTACAAATAATATTACCCGATAACCGTATGGTACGACTTTAATTATTGTACGCTTATCATTATTCTCTGAAATTTGTCGAAATTCGCAAATAGCTTGTACTGTCGGTGTTGAAAATATTGGTCATTATACTCAAATTTAAATTAATTAATTAATTTCAATAATTTTATATTCTTATCACTTTTATTACATATTGTTAAAAATTGTTACAATAATACAATCTTAAAAATCATAATTAACTGGTGTTAGGTTAGGTGCTTTTTCGTTGTCTAGAAGTTTGAACTCCATCGACGATGCTACTAAATTAGTGAAGAGTACTGGATCCGCTTTAATTCCATTGCAAATAAATCTTACAAGAATCCTAAAAAGAGTCTTGTCTATATTGTCTAAAACAAAACAAAAAAGATTTTTAATTAAAAAAAAATAACTAATACATATACATTGTAAGACTATAACAGACGCTAACACTATTTAAAACATACAATTGTATATTATAATATATGTATGTGTATTAGTTTCGATGCTAAGCTGCGAATGTTTTATAACTTATTTTGAAACGAGGTTTTTTTTATTTCAATACCTAAAGCAAAATACAATAACTCGAATTACTAGACCGACTTATTCGAATAACCTCCATATTAATAGAAATCGTTAAGGATTGGTATTACTTTGTTGGGTCAAAAATTTGAAAAAGATCGCTGCCCTCTCCCTCTTTTGACTGTTCTATCTGACATTGCGAATATCCTCAATAAATATTAACTTTTGATAATGATAAAGAAGTTTGTTTTATGATATATATTTATCATGTTAAAGGAAAAAATAACAAAACAATCCTATTTTAATTGTTATAAACGTGAATAAGAATACTTCTTCAAAACTAACTACTTCACAGTTATCCATCGAAGCTAAAAAAATATTATTAAATAATAAATTAAGTATAATTGATGTTTACTTCGGTTAAGTCTTTCACTTGGATCAATTACGAAGTACCCGTTTGCAAGAGTTCTAAAAATATGTGACTCATCCAAAAACGCAATTAAATGATCGAATGTAATATTCATATAACTAGGTAATCTCGACCATTGTTTAACCAATCGATAAAGTCCATCTATGTTCTGAAATTGGTTTTTAATAATATTGTTATAATTCGTTACATAAAAAACTATAAAATTGAAATGCGTACTGACTAGAGAATAATATAAAACGAACAATGTGATACAAGTCCAGAGAGCAAAAAATGGATAATATACAAATTTACTAATAATAAAAAATTAACTGTTAATCAATTCTTCATTTATCCATTTAATAATTTGATTAACTTTTTATCCTTGGTTAATTTGTAAAGCTACCTAATTGAGTAGTGCAATAATATAAAAATTCGTTATTCATAAATCATAAAACAAGTACAATATTTATTTATGAATAAATGTTATGCATTAAAAAAGTTATTTTTTTTATCTTGAGTATTTCTTTACTAGAGCTAATAACTATGATACCAGTATACCAACAATAGCGTAAAAGACAAAACACAATTAATTATTAAAGAAAACAATATGTATGAATATTATTACAAAAGTGAAACTTTGACCAATATATTAGAATAATACACCAAGTACCGTACCTCGTTCCCGATAGTCTCTGGGTACAAACCTGGTGGTGCACCCAGTACAGAGTTGGCAATTAATACCAATTTTATTAACAAAATAATGAACTTGAAATACATTTTAGGCGTACTGTAAATTTAATTTTAACTCGGGAACAAAATGAATAATTTTTTTTTCGCTTTAATTACCAGTTTTATAGGGAATTAAAAAAAAAACAGAACAGTGGGGACGGGGCATATTAGGGGGAGGGGATCACAAGCCTATAACAATTATTAAAGTTTGAAAATATGTAAATTTATTGGGCGTTTAGCTAGATTTCAAAAATCAAGGAGTATCATTTTTTTGTGTATACAAGTGTCTGTGTCACACAGTCTATAAAGTTAATATAACGACTAAGTTAAGATTATCAAAAGAAAAAAAAAAAGACCGTACAAATAATAAATGAACACGTACGCACTATGTACAAGTATTTAAAAAAAATGCTAGACTAAACAACATTTATTAGTTTTATAACTTTCAAATTTAAGCTAGATTTTTTTTTGGAAATTATAAACAATTTATGCCTGGTTTGAATACTGTATTAAAGAGTAAAATTTGTTTTTCTTAAATTTATGTAAAAAAATATCAAAGAAATAAAAAAATGTCGTTTCTCAACTTTGGGTTTAAAGTAGTTAAACCCCACCCAAAGAACATACCACGCACATTTTCCGATCCATAAGTAGGCTCTATACAAAAAGACACAACAAAAATACATCATAAAAAATCACAGTTCAAACCAATTACAGTATAAATCAGTAAAGAATATGTTAGCAAAGTTGGGCCAAAGCGATTATTAAGGAGATTGCATGATATCTGTTTTTAAGGAGTTTTGTATAGGCAATATTTATGAAATTGGTTTTAACAAATTTCGACCACGTCCCTCAATTTACCTCTTAATTTGTTTAAGCTTCAAGGTATTATTTTTAATTTAAATAATTTTTTCTACGAATAAAAGCCATTTTGGATTAGTTAAGACCAAAAATCCAGACAACATTTTGATTACATAGGATGGTTTAATTGCATTCCTGTAAAGAAAGTCGAGTTGGAAATTATTTCGAAAAGAATCTCTTTTACATACGAGCCGTCGAGAGCTTAAGTGGCGTAAGTCAGGTAGTGATAATTCTATTTTAAATCTGCTTGCTGGCAGGAGAATTTTTACGTTCTATTAACAACGAATACAGCAATTCAAATGTAACCTTTCATTTTTTAATTAAAGAAGTTACATGACTTTAACTAGTTTTGCTCTCGACGGCTCATATGTTGACTTCTATATAATAGTAAGACCGGGAATTTGTATAATATACTTGGAAAAGTATTCATAATTAGTAGTTATACAGAATTAAACAATGTTTATAATATCTAATTAAAAAAATGTAAAAACATCTCAACCGTTTAACAGTTATAGGTACGGTTTTAAGTTCACTTGGCCGGTTGGGTTTTTCTATTTATATGAAACACGCGTGGTACCACAAAAACCTTTAATGTCTTGTTGTTATGCATTTTTATACGTATTTAAATTGTAAAGTATTTCTTGGGAACTTGATACACATTATTTATCAACATATAATCCCTTAGGGTTATTGAATGGACAAGCTGACCATTTATTGTTACACCATTCCTGTTGTATCAATCAATTCCAAATATCAATTTTATATTTTAAGACTCATTTTCTTATGTTGTGTTACTACTTAAGAGGACGTCACACACCCGTTTTTTTCTACAAAAAACCCGCCTTGCGCGGATTAATTTTACAAAGGCTATAATCAAAACTAAGAAACCAAATTTCTACATAATATAGACAACAACATTGTCTGTGTTCTACCATCGCCCTATTTTTAATATTTCAACCAGTTAATGAATAATTAATTAATTAAGAAAGGACATTTTTGACTTTTTTAAAAATGATGTAGCGTTGGTTGTATTAGGTATATCGAAAAAATACGAAAGACAGAACACAGATAATTTTGTCATAAATAATATGTATGAATTTCTTTCCTTAACTATATATGAAGCCTGAGAAAAATTAATCCATGCAAAGCAGTTTTGATGGGAAAAACATTGTCAATTATCCTATAGACATGACTGTGATAGTATGACGAAAAAAAAATGGCAATCAACAAAGTATCCTCATTACTATATTAATAAGTATACGTTATAGTTCAAACTGCGTTCTACATGCGTGACAAAACTTGCTCGCAACAACTTCTTCCTGATCTGAAACCTGCTTGTTCCTTCGGTAGATTCTCTTCGGTTCGTTTTTGAACTCTTGTTAACAGTACTCTTTCAAATACACAATCAATATTTACCTTAACTACAATTTGATGCCACAGTACGACGTTTCGTAGACAATGTCAAGTCGAATTTTTAAAATAATAACGTAAAAACAAAGTTATAGTTATTTAAAAAAAGGAAAATGTTTTTATTTTAAATGTTGTTAAATATTAGGTTTATTGTAACAAGGATATATCATGTCTACTAAATCTTGTCATCTTTCGATTTTGTTATAAGTGTTTTTAGTTTAAAAATCACGGAGGAAGTAAAACGCATTCTGCATAATAGCTATGTTTTAACTTTAAAAAATTGTTTGTACAACGTCATTTTAATATTATCATTTTTCTCTTACATATTTTTGTATAATTATTAATTGTATTTCCTCAATTTTCATTGATTAGTTTTAGTCGGCCCAACCAGTACCACAGTTTTACTGCGAATCTTTATACCTGTATCTATACAGTGGCTTTTTTATTTTATAAGCTGATGAGTATATGTTATTAAAAATACAAAACAAAACCGGCGTATTGGGATTCATTTATCTTAACTGATATAACCATTCTCAAAAAATCGCATTGATGCAAAACTATATGGAATGTAAATGTTTTAAGGTGTTTACGTCTTTAATTACAATGCAAAACCAAATTAGAACATCGTTTTTTTAACATGAATGAAATAATACCTAGGATTATGCTTGATGAAACCGATACTGGTCATACATTTTGCACAGCATGTTTAGCTGTTATGTAAATTTGTTGTTTTCCGCCTGTTAACATTTCAATCTAGTATGAATAACTATTAAGCAAATATTCTATATTTACGAAAATAAACAGTCATAACTCAAATCACGGAATCTCTTAACTTGTTGTTGAAGAAGTCAAACGTATACTAAGTAGTTTTAAGCCACGAAATGATTCTCATGAAACATGCGTGGTATCCCAAAAATCTAAACTTATAGTATAGACTTTAGTTTGTATGCGTTTTGGTTTTACAGTAATTTATATACATTTTTATCCAATGTATAATATCGAAAGGCAATTAAACGGATAAGCTGGCCTTATATTATATACACCAATTATTTCCAATTAACCATTTTTTACTTTTTCTTTCAATTTGATTGTTATCTATTTTATTGACACGTATGTAATAATGTAATAGATTCTTTTGAAAAATCTATGTGAACAAATTAACATTGGGCTCTTGTATATTAACAGTTAATTATGATAATTTACATAAATTAAGAATTGAAACAAACACTTTACTTCAAGAGGTTTGTGCCTTTGTCTCGCTCCGATGATCTAGCTACTTTTTATCTATTATATTGTGTCAAATAAATAATGTATGAATTTCTTGTTTTTTTAGAGTCGTAGCTTGCAAATTTGTTTTTTTTTTGCTTTTGTGTGCGCACGTATTAATATAAATTAATATATTCAAATATCGAATGTTTCGACTATTTTAATTTTATCACACAGCTATTTTAATATATTTGTTCAACTGTTATTATAAATAATCATTGCATTTTTAGTAAAACAACGTGTACAAATTCAAGACAATGACAACGATGTATACCTTTTTTTAACAATTGTGTACGTTTTTACATGGAAATATTGATATTTGTTTTATATGTCTTATTATAAAACTTCAAAAATAATAAAACGTATATTGACAATGTTCTCGAATCAGACATACTATTTTTAGTAATTATGCACAGATGTACTACTATTTTTTTTCAACTGCCATCTTTGCATATTCATAAAACTATTATAACATTATTTTTTTAAAACGTATTAATATTACACTGATATTTTTTAACGGGTAATACTCAGGTACCCGAAATTACGTACAATACCCGGAACAACCTGGTGCCAATATATAATATGAATTTATTTCAATTTATAAGTGCTATTAATACCAATGTATAATATTAACTGTTTTAAAATTGTATTTTAAAGTCAAATGTACGAATAATTACATCATACACTCATAGTAGCTCTACATAATATGAGCGACTTATATTTCAGTTTATTTTATAGGTATTGCTAGAACAGTTCATGCAAATATCATAGACACAGATTTTATTTATTGGTAACAATGTATATCACTTAGATTTAATTATAGTATTTACATAGTTCCTTTATTGTATCACATATTTTAGCGGCCATTAACACTGAGTTAACAAAGTGTTTTAGTTACGATTCATTTTTGAATTGCTCTCTAAATTGCATCCCATTCTATCATACCATATAATAATTGTTTTTTCCCACCTCATCCAACAAGCACAGCAAAATAAGTATCATTTTATTTTCAAATGTTGTCAAAACGTTTTTTAATATATTGAAAATATCATCAATATAGCATGTGACACATCATTTTGGGTTAGAATTTTATTCTCAATTCAATTTTGTCCTTAGAATTATTTTATATTAAATGATGAAGAAAATTAATATCATTAATTATACCCATAGAGCATCCTGAATGTCTCACTTGAAGCTCGGTAGAACTTTACTTTACACCCTGTATACTGTGATTGCTAGTAGTACTGTGGCTGTTATTATTTAATTTTTAGAACATTCTTTATAAAAGCGTGTTTTTTGTAAGTTATTATATTGCTTTCTACTTTTCAGTTTTTGTCTGTTGATTTGAAACTTGTGTAGTATCACAAAAACCTTTATTGTCTAGTTGTTATGCATTTTGATATTTAATGTATTTTTCAGTACTTTTTAGACATATTTTACCAGTATAATACAATATCATAAGGTTTTTGAAATTGGGCAAGTTGACCATTTATTGTTTCACCATTCGGGTTGTACCAATTAATTTCAAATACTCATATTATATTATTTTGAAACTCATTTTATTATATTGTGTTAGTACTTAACATTTTATGATTTCACAATGAGTAAAACAATTACAACTCATATCGCTTTTAAAAAAATAGTAAATAACATAAAATAGGATGATAAATCAGAATAGTACTGTGCTAGTATAATAAATAAATCATACTAAAAGCGCATCTATTTTATCGCTTAGTATTGCAATATTAACCTTATTTAAAAATTGTAGTACTTCCTGTTGACTTTTTTCGCAAACTCTTCTGATAACGGCCCCATAAAGATCCTCATTTATGTTGTCTTAAACAAAAAAAATAATAATAACGTACATAAATAAATTGCTATACTATAAACAGCAGTTGCGCAGTGGCCCAGAAAAAAGAAAAGAAAAATACTACCCACGATACTTTGAACTACAATTGAAAGTAAACCCTTTCTAGGGATTGAAAACCTTACCAAGCCAAATTCAAAACATTATTTATAACTAATAAAGCAGTTTTTCCAAATGAATCGTGTCATAAATTTAATATTAGTATAATAAATACACGTTTTAACACTCAGGGCAAAGGAAAATTCATATCGAGAATCGAGAGTTATATTTTTCTTGAAAACAAGTATTGTAGGGGCGAAGCATAGGAGGAACGAACGGGGAGGTCACAGGTCTTCGGGAATTATTATAACTAAAAATGATAAAATCATTTTCAAATAAACGCTTCGATGCATATCTGAGGACACTGGACCTGAATACCTACTTTTTGATACTGGGCTGTCTTATACTGTGGTTCGTTGGGACTGTACTGGTTTAAACGGAGCTTGGTTTGAACTTACTGTACACAGATTCGCGTCGAAGCGTTTATTTGAAAGTGATTTTATCACTTTCAGTAATAATAATTCCTGCAGAACTGTGACAAAAACCTACCGCGCTGGTTTTTGCAAAATATGTGAACCAGCAATAACTAACTGCTCTAAAGGTTCGCATCAAAGCTAAAGAAAACTATTATTACATAATTTGTAATTGATAAACGCAATATATTTAATAGTTACTTCGGTTGTTTGCTGCACGAGAATTTTCATCGAAATACTGGTATACATGTCTTGCATTATCGGAGCCCAAAGACGACACTAATTGTTCCAAAGTAAGTGTTTGTCCCGATTGAAGGCGGAGATGTTGTAAAGTTATCTTGAAAGTCTCTCGTATTTGCTGAAAATTTTTGTAGCGTGTCATTTAAAAAATCTAGGTTGATATAATAAAATATCATAAAAAGTCAATCAATTTGAGTGTTATAATTTTTAACAAGATTTTGTTAAAAAAAAACCTTTTGAGATTTTATAATATTTTGGTTCATATTTCATATAAAATCGTATCATCTAACCCTGTAATATTTGTATACAAATATATATAGAGAGCGTACAGAAATTATTTTGTACATCATGAATGGTTATGTGGAAGTATTATGTATTAGTTGTTGTTTCAAAAAATAACCTATAAATGAAACCCTGAAATTAGGATTCATAGAAAATTTTCGGCTTCAGAAACTGATTTACAAAAAAATAATCAAACTGAGAATTTCACATTACTTAGTTAATAAAATATTCGTTTAGTGAAATGAAATGTTTTTAAACAACATACAACTGAACTTAACTACGTTTAAAAATGTTACAACTATAAAATTGTTCCAATAATCTTCATACGAAATGATAAATATTAATATTGGTACAAAATGATTAGTAAAAATACATTCACAACACACCATTTATTATTAAACAAATGAATTAATTGAAAGAAATTACCTCGTGTGAATAAAATATTAAAGATTAATCAAATAGACAGTTATTTAACTGTAGTAAATTATTAGAGTATCGTTAATGTTTTCCATATAAATACAATGAATACTATTTAACAAAAAATATAATTAAGTTGCCTATATCATGAGTATACGTATATGAGTATGTGAGTATATACGTAACAGACAAATTATTGAAAATATAATAATAATTTATTTAATTTAAAAAAAAATAATAAAGAAATAAAAGAAAATGTGTACAAATTAGAGTGACTTAACACAAAAAGATAAAATTACCATATTTTCTAACTGGATTCTTCTCCATATTTGATCCCTAGTCTCGCCGGCAACACTTTGAATTACTAAATAATTCATTGTGAAACACAAAACAAATATATACTTTACATTCATTGTTTCTTCTATAAGACTTAAAAATTCACAATGGATTCAAATAAAACAATCATTATTATTGCTTTATAGTGGCTGGTTTTATATTGGATTTTCGAAGAAAATCCTTTTAATAATAATAATATTCCACCCCAACATATGTTTTTGACAGCTAGTTTATTTATAGAGTACTTCTATTTTTTTTTTGTAAATAAACGAAATAAAAACATAGTTTAATACGCTTATTTTTTATCAAATAATCTTTATACGGAACATCTGTCTTACAATAATGTATTTCATTTATTTTTTTTGCAAGATCGATTTAGTCATGTAGAATCTTCCAATCAAAAATCGTAAAAAAATTATGTATAAATTGATGGGAGGAACCTCTAAAGGTTATTCAATTTTAACTTTGATGTGCTATAATTTTGAACGATCAAGTAAAGACAAAATGTTTATTGTTTATTGCAAACATTCATTAAGTTTGCGCTTAGTCAATTATAATAGCTCGAAACCCGAATGTTAGTTTAGTTTCGGTCTTCGATGCGAGTATTGTTTTTTCATGTGTCTGTACTCATAATCCTAAGACCTAGTATTTTGGACTTTTTTAGTTAAAAAAATTAATAGTAAAGATGCCGGTCGCTAACCATATTTAATATTTTTGGATAACCTAAAAGTCACAATTAGGACAACGCACATAAAAGTATTTATATGAGAAAATCGGTCAAAAATATTATATGAACTTAAGTGGTGAAGAAACAACATTATAATATGATGATTAATCGTTGTATTGAAAAAACTTTTTCATTTTTTTGTTAAGATCTTATAGACTAATTAAATTAACCAAAATATATGATGTACTACACTGAAAAGGTTTAGGTATCGATGTTTTTTTTTACGCATGTTATATGGTGTTTATTAGACCTACCTTTAGGCTAATTTATAGCTCTTAGATCCTAAAATTGCTAACAAATTAAAAAAACAAAAAAAATTCAACCTCTCTTCCGAGAAGGAGGAGCCCCCTCCCTTTGTCGAAATTTGGGTTTTTTTCTATGGGCATTTTTGTATCCCAATGATATCCCAATGCTCACGTTAGAAGATCTCACCGTAGCAGGGGCAATAATACAATAATTAAACTAAAATAAATGTAATGTATTATCAATATAAATTAAAATGAGATTTAAATACACTTTTTTTAAAAACTTTTTTATTAAGAGGGCGTTGCACCGGCGATTTTTAGTTGTAAAAACATGTTTACACCAACTTAAAATAACTCCATTAAGAGGGCGCCACACACTCGTTATTTTCTTCATAACACCCGCCTTGCGCAAATTAATTTTACAAAGGCTGTAATCTCAAAACTAAGAAACCAAATTTTTACATAATATAGACAACAACATTGTCTGTGTTCTACCATCGCCCTTTGTTTAGTATTTCAACCAGTTAATGAATAATTAATTAATAAAGAAAGGACTTTTTTGACTCTTTTAAAAATGATATAGCGTTGGTTGTATTAGGTATATCGAAAAAAAACCGATGATAGAACACAGATAATTTTGTCATAAATAACATGTATGAATTTCCTTCCTTAACTATATATGAAGCCTGAGAAAAATTAATACGCGTAAAACTCAATTCCACAGTATTTTTTTTTTTAATCGCTGTCAAGGATGCTGTGGTAGTCCAAAAAATAGTTTAACTACTAAAAAAAGAGTCCTAAGTGCTGAACTCATAGTTACACATCACAGTTTAACCTTAAGTTAAGACTTTGTAAGAAATTGCCTATACTTTACTCCTTAAAAATGGGCGGTGTAGCGTCCTCTAGGCCCTCTACTCTGGCATTTATTAAGGCGCTTGTATAAGCAATTTTTCGCTAAAACTTAACATTAAGAGGACGCTACCCTGGCCATTTATAAGGAGTAAAGTATAGGCAATTTTTTGAAAAATCTTAAATTTAAATTTGAACTATAATGTATACTTATTAATGCAGTAATGAGGATACTTTGTTTATTGCCATTTTTTTTTTGTCAGACTATCACAGTCATTTCTATAGGATAAATCACAATTTTTTTCCTATCAAAACTGCTTTGCGCGGGACAAGTATGTGAGGCCAGTATTAACAGTAAATTTACCAAATTTTCACAATGTACAGAGAAGAACTTTATCCATGGGGTAGTGATTTAACTTGTTCGATATCTATACTTAATATTTTTTTATAAACAAATAAAAAAAAGAAAAATAATGAATATTTACGAACGAATAATTATGATTGTGCTAAGTTATCAAAAAACCAAAAACGCTACACCGTAGATAAAGTTCTTCTCTATGCATTGTAAAAATTGTATACGGATACTCTAAATACCGCCCTCACATTCTTGTCCCCCGCAAAACCATTTTTCGTGGAAATACGGTTTGGTAGCGTCTTAATGTTCTCGTAATGTCCTCTTAACATTACAAGTACTATCGATTAAAAAAAATCGAAAAAAAGGGCGCTCACAAAACTAGATTTATACCCAACCATTCTCCTAAAAGTTACGCAAGGTATCAAATTTAAGGCATTATTAGGTATTTGTACAAATTATGTCATTCTAACATCAAAAAAAAAAAATATAATAATTTCCGTTACTTCTCTAGTAAAGCAAAAGTTGTCCAACCCGACTTAAAAAGGCTGTATACTAAAAAAAAAAACGAATAATAGTATAAAATCATAGCCCATAATTTTTTTTTTTTTTTGTACACTTATTATAGTAACTTAAAAAATCGAAGGCTATAATAAACCATAGTTTGACACTATTCTCTAACCAATCATATTATTTTAGGAATTGTGCACAACACTGCTCACAGATGTTTTACAGTATCATTTTCAACTGCCAACTTTGAATATTCATTATTCATAAAACAAATATAAAATTGTTAAGATAATGACTATAATGGCGTGTAACTTCTGTATAAATTGCATACGTTTTTTTATTAAAAATAGTATATTTTTTTATGATTTTTATTAAGTGTGCACTTATTATTAATACTATTTTGACTTGAGTCTTGATTTATTTTACTTGATATATCAAAAAATCGAAGACTGTATTTTTAACACGTTGACCGCCACGGGTTTTTTCACTGTGTTACTTGTAACGGCCATGAGATATAATTCGAAATCTCAACTTTTTCCCAAAAATGTGTCGTGAGATTTATTAAGAGATCTCATTCCCAATTATTTTCAATTGGTGATATTTCATAGCAATTAAATATTCAGATATGAAAAAAAAAAGAAGGAATTACACTTATCGAATACCATTATTATTGTCTATTCGCATGTATCAAAACAAATAACGAACAAAAAAAAAAACAATTTCAAAATCAATGTAGAAGGTTTTTATTAAATTAAATTGTGTTTTTGTGATACATACTATATTTAACAAAAAAAATATCTTGTTACAAAGAAGTAAGCACAATAAAAGTGTAATACTTAAAAATAATATCGAAAAAAAACAGTATTATAAATCATTTTTCAAAACGTATTACCTTCTAAAATTCTAAACTAAATTTTTTTAAAAAAAAATATGTTTTTATGATTCGTATAATAGTGTGCGAAAATTGATATCGAAACAAAGTAAATAAACCGTTGTGAAACGTCGTATCACCTTTTAAACAACGCACGTAACCAAAAAATCCAATGAAATATATTATATTAAACTTTTTAACTTCTTAGTAAATTTTATATGAATCCATACAAAATAATTTTACTAGATGTACTCATTAAAGTATGTAAAAAACATGTTTTTCTTCCCTTGCTGAGAAGAGGGGGTGACTAAATCAGGGGTTTGCTCTTATTATACATAAATGAGTAAGCCTATAATAAATGTTTGATACGTATTTTTTACGCGTTAAAGGACAAAGATGAATTTCTTTTGGGTTTTTTCAATTTAATGAATGAATGAGTAAACTTTTTTTTTACTTTTGACCATGCCAAGTACAAATAGCATAAGTTTTGCGATCGATCTATACTTTGTATCATGAAAAAAAGGCCGTCTCTCACGCATTCCTATGTCGCACACTAGTCTGTAGTCAAGAATCCTAGATAGGCGATCGAAAATGGATTTTTAAAAATAGTCGCAGAGACTTAATTTATTTAGTAGTTTAATAACAACTAGTATTATTGTCTAGTACTGTATTATATAAAAATACCAATTATTAATTTTTAACATTTTTTTTTGTTGTTACTCTAACTGCTGGGTTAGAGCTGAGAGGTCACCACTGTTATTTTACCTTTAAAAATACTCTACATTTAGAATACAGAGGTCTAAAAAAAATATTCAAGAAATATTATGTATGTTATATTATAGCATGTTATCCAATGTTTAATTACAATATCTCTCTAAGACATTAGGGGAATCCTTATAATAGGGGATAGATAAAACAAATTATTTCAAATTTGAATTTAGCGACCCAAAAACTTATAATTTTACCTATTTAGTTGATTTAAAAAAAACAAATTTATGAGATATTATTTTTTATCGTCTTTTTGGATTCTAAACAACTTTGCTTAGCTCTTCTTCCACGCGCAACACGGCAGATGGCCGTCTTGACATATGTCAATTTATACGTAGCGTGCCCTGTTTGTTCTGTCTGTTTTTTACCAAAAAATAACTATACAAATTTTACGGACTTGTAGGTACTGATTTTCATCGATTACCATTTACGTACAAATCTTATAATCGTATTTGAAAATATTGTTATCTGCATAAAATACATGGGTAATTATGGAAATAAATTATTATAGACAGACGAACAACCCTTATTGTGTCCACCTTGATGACAAAAACACATTTATAAGCACATTATTGTCATTAGTCATCAGAAACAAATTTAAAAAGTATATTAATTAATAATAATAGTAATAATAATTTTTCTACTATTATAAATATAAAAAAAAAAATGTCTATATCTACCTAACTCCTTAATAAATAGGAGTATCACGTCCCAGTGGCGTATTTATTAGGAGGGGGCTGAAGCCCCCTCAGCCCCTTTCCAAAATCTCATGCAATTTTTTTAGTCTGCCAATGGACCTATAGGATATAAATTGTAGGAGTTCAACATTGTCGTTTTAAAAATTATTAGTTTTTAATTTTTTCATCTTAGGTACCTAATTTGTGATTTTGAATTGACTAAATAGCAATCTCGTCTTTTCGTCCACTGCACGCCCGTACCTATCTTGAATGTTATTGTTATTATTAGGTCGTGACGGCGACGACAAGTGGTCGGTTTTTATTGTTTACAAAAATAACATTGTGAATATATTTTGTTCCCATAAAAGTCTTACCAAATTTTTAGGTTTAGTCATGGCTGAAGTATACAGGTTATTGCTCATCGTCTCAAATTGTTATCTTCAGAAATAAAATGGCAGCATAGCAGGATATAAATTTTACTATATATTTTACCGTGTACTTTAGAACATTTCGAGGTTCCTCTAGGAGAAGGTCTTAGTGCGAGTAATATGGAAAAATATGTCCATTACAATCATTATGAAATTGTACAAAAGTATTTTTCAGACAATTCAGTTTCACTTCAAGACCAAGGTAACTATTAGATAATATACTTTATTTATCATTTAATAATATTTTTAGCTTTAATGCGAAGCAGTTAGTCTTAATGGGTATTCTCATTAGCATTAAATACATTAATTGTTCTTAACTTGGTTTTTTTCTTCTAGAATATGAAAATAAGCACGTCTCATAATGTATTATTAGAGATTTTCCCATTATTATGGGAAAATAAGTTGTATATTTTCTTTAAAAAAAGACTGAAATTTTGAGAAAAATAATTTAATTACAGATGAACAAAATTACATTATAGTATTATATAGTTAAAATATTTTTGGAAAAATAGTGACATACATACAAAATAAAATTTTTAATTTAGTTTGTGTTTTTAGCATTGTAATGCCTGGATAGTCAGAGGTAGGTTTTTTTACTTTAAAGGACCCTTGTCTCTTAAAAATTTGTAATTTCAATTATTAATATTTAAAAGTAAACAACAGAGAAATTCCTTAGTACAACAAAAAAGAAGCATCGTATTTGAACACCTAATATTAAAAAAATTGTGTTTTAAAATAAGTTTGGAATTTTTTTCTTGGGGAGTATCTAAAAATATATTTTTATATATTATAATTATATAGTCCTGCATGTGTTATAATATTTTTGAGTTTTGACAACTGTTCAACTGCTGTTAATAATCAATAAATTTAATAAAAATTTGAATTTCTGAATATGAGAACATTATTTTTTTTGTTTTTTAGACAATATAGATTTGGGTCTTTTTTACAAACTTGTGGAAGCGATTTGCAATTATTATTGGTATGATCAAGTACAATTCGCTAAAACAATAATTGAGACAAAAAATTCAATAGACAGTTTAAAAGACAGTTCAAAAGACAGTACTATTCTATATAACATGTAAATATAATACAAAACATTTTTTGTAGGTTAAAAAATAATAATTATTGTGTTATATTTATGCGTGTCTTAAGCAATTTGTTTATACATAGTTTTTAATTATATAGACAAATTCTGTACTTAATAATTTTGTTATATGATAAAAATATTATGTTATTATGTTTACACAGTGTAAGATAAATAAATATGATAATTATTATTATAACCAATACTAAAACTACTATGATCTTTTGTTTAATTTCTTTAGAATATTTTCGTTATATTTATATTGTATGTGTCAATACGTGCATAAACAAAATGTATTACACATCTTAACGTTATTTACATTTTAAATCCTAATATCAACTCAAGTCCTATAATATATAAGTTAGTGTTTAAATAAATTCTAAATGTTGTACCGAAATTAAAAGTGATTTTCCATGTGATTGCTACATTGGAAATTTACATGCTTATTGTTATAGCGGTACCAATAATAGGGTAAATATAAGTTATTAAAAACACACAACAAATTTACATGTTATTCAACTTAAAATTACGGTGCACTATAACTTTAAAAAAAAATAGTTGAATTAATTCCAATTTTTTATGGAATATTCTTTAGATAAAGTTCAGATAAAGATAAATAGCGATATACTTTGAAAAAGAACCAAAAATATCAAAAACTCTTTCCCCTAGAAGCCTAGAAGAGATAGAAACGTTCTCTTAATTTCTTTTTTTTTCAAGCAAGCTTTTAGGACTTAAGGCCTGAAAATTAGACTTAAAATAAATCTAGGTGGGGCTATAGCTTATAACATAAAACATTTTCAGAATAATCTATGTCAAACTTAAACAATTGAAGGGTCCGGCGCAAGTACCGGCCATCTTCACTTTTTATCAAAAATTGTTTTTCCATGGAAAAATTAATTACATTTTCGTACATCAAACAGTAAAATCGGACTATTACCTACAAATATATTGCAAAACCTATTTTTTGCCGCCATAATGATAAATGGGACAATGTATTTTCTTTTGACCGTCCAGCGTGCTGAACAATTTTAAAATATGAAGACAGATAGGTTTTTGCACCGGACCTTTCAATTTGTAATGTGTCGAAATTTTAAGTTGAAAAATAGAGCTATCCTAAGATTGTAATTATCAGTTGTAATATTTTTTAATTAGAAAATATATATTATTTCCGATCATAAGCTCTTCAATGATGATTTATAATGCGTCATATAATGGGTAATTAATAAACATATTATAAAGAAGTAGATATTTCCGTTTAAAGAGTTTCAATGATAATTTCTAAGAAACCCTTGAAAAGTGGAGTTGATGTTTACCAGCGTGACTAGTTAAAAAAAAATAATATTGTTATTGTGACGCACGTAGTACTAAAAAAAATACATATTTATCTAATGCCAAAATAACATAATATTTTTATCAATTATAAAAAATCACCCATAGGGGCACGACGGCATAAAATATGATGTTTGTGGATTTTACATGTTTACCGCTTACATTATCAAATATTACTCACCCATTCAGATAACAGTTTTCAGTGACAGTCGTTGGGCGGTTGCCGGTTGTTTCTGTTGACATTTCTGCAGGTACAGAGTACAGCTCATTGTCAGTATAACATTATGATGTTCGTCGTATTGTTATAATAATATTATTATTTGACTACGACGTGCATAAGTAATGATTCGATTTTATTCCATTAGGTATATCAAGTTTAGAACAGTTTTAAAATATTAACATACTTGCCGGATTTATTAAATATTTTAATACCTACATACATTGGTACATACAACTGTAAACATGAGCGACAGTAAGTATTTAGTATAGTTTACCAGTATTGTAAATAAATATACTCGGTACTAATATTATTGTTAGTGTATAATATTTACTATAATATAATATATTATATTCAATAATATATACTATAATATTATTTGTATTATGACGTTTAATTTCATTATTTTTGGATAATATAATAGCTATCTACATAGCGTGTTTGTCGTGACGGCTTTGATTTGTATAATATAATATATTTTACAGTTGGATATTAAGATAATTATTCTTTAATGACCATTCTAACTAAATACAAGTATAATTTAACTAATATTTTAGGATTTTAAAACTTTAACTATGTTTAAGCTAAACTGGTATGATTGGTCGTAAGTCATTAATGGTTGTCGGTTAATTGAAACTGCTATACTAGGTCCAGTCTTGAGTGACCTATGCTACTGAATTTCTTGTTTATCACACAATATGTAAATAAATAAAACTATTATTTTGATTATACCATTTTGTAAAAATAATTATTGTATTGAGAAATGTAATTGTGAAACTAGATATTATTGACAATAACAATGTAAATTATAACTTGTGCAACAAAAATGTACGTATTTATATTATATTAATAATATAATTACTAAAGGTATAAAAAATATCTATCTTTTAGATTAATAATTGGTGTTATTTTGTAAATGTTATGAATATTTTTAATCTTTTTAATTAGGCTACTTGTTTATTAGCTAGTTAAAATATATATTATTTTTAACATTTAATAGGTAGATAGGTCAAAAGATAAAATGGGTATCAATTGGAAAACCCAGATTTTTATTTGCTGATGAATACTATTATTTTATGTTTGAAACTGCTTATAAACTTGATTAGTGAATTGATAATAATATATGCTAACTAATTACTAGATAGCAACTATAGTTCAGTGGTTATTGAATTTATACACTGTTGTTATTTGTCTGTTTATTCTTGGACATCTAAGATTGATGTAAATTTTTATAACTTACATTTTCATTACTGACATTTTAGATATAAAAAATATGGCACTTGCTACAAACAGTTTAGAAGCGCTAAGTTTAGCTAATCATGATTTTTCGTTGTCATTATATTCAGTAAGTACTGTATAATATATTATATATTTTTGTTTTTAATATTTTGCTTTATGTTATTAAAGTTTTTTACCTATTATTTTTATTTGCAGAAATTTAACCAAAAAGATGGAAATATATTCTATTCGCCGTTTAGTATACATTTAGTAATGTTTATGGCCAGCGTTGGAGCGGCTGCAAAAACATTTGATGAAATAGTTAACACGTTGCATTTGACCAAAAACAATACTGCATTGGATGCATATAAGGAACTATTGGAAAACTTAAATGTAATATTACTCATATTACTAATCAATAATGTTATTTAATTACATTATTATGTTAAGGGTAACGGAAAACATCAATTTTTTTACAAATAAAGACTAAAACGCGGAGTCATATTCCAAAGTGTCTACCGAACCGATTTCAATAATTTTTTTATTTTATTTTATAGTTTAACATCTTACCTATGGGGGCTAAAAGGCCAATTTTTTATTTTTGTTTTCAAAAAATAGTTATAAGCATTTTTATTTTCACTTTTTTATAGTTTTTTCTAATACATCTAACTACTTTTTTAATCGCTAAATCCAAAATCGTTCTTTTAGCTTCCATAGAAAAAATAGTAAGCTTCGCATAAAAATAAAGAAAACTTGAAATCCGTCAAATAAATACGCCAGAAAAATGACTTTTACGAAAGTCATTTTTGATCAAACTTTCATCATAACTCAGAGAAAAATATCTTTAAAAGTATTATAATTAAAAAATTGTAATATGTGTTCACCTTTAAATTAGTAGGTATATGAAAAATGGCTATTAGATCAATTTTTGTCAAATATTGCCTAACCTTTGCCCCTTAATAAATAGCGCTTTCCGTTCCCCTTTAACAAAATTAGTAACTATTAATTAATTAATTATAATTTTAGCTTATGTTGTTATACATTTTAGGAGAATGATGTTCTAAAAATTGCTACTGGAATGTTTGCTGATAATTCATTTAAAATAAAACAAAGTTATTTAGAAAAAACTGGAAAGTATTTACAATCGTCCTTAGAAAAATTGGATTTTAAAGGCAATCCTGAAGTTCAGCGTGTATATATTAACGATTGGGTCCAAAACAAAACTAATGGAAAAATCAAGGATTTGTTTCCCGCAGGTAACTTTATTTCAATATATTAGTTTTATTGAAGAAAAAAAAATGAATTCTCATGTGTTGAGTGTCTAGAAAAACATTGAACCTATTATAAAACACAATACATTATTATGTAATATGCTTTCATAAATCTTCAGGGAAAAACTTAAGTTTGTCAATTTAACAAACAATTTGTTTTTCAAATTTATTGGGAGCTTGTTGTTGAGAGTTTATAGAGATTATTTTATCAAAATCAGTGAGTACATTTTGCTGTGTTGAAAACTAAGACCATAAGTGTGATAAATCTAATTATAATTTTCACTCTAAAATCATTGGTTGTTTTGTGCCTCAAAAACATTGTTACAAGAAAGCTCGCACACTATCAGAGTGGTTTATTTTGATAACTTTTTTGTTTATTTGAAAGACGAGGACTTCATACAGCAGGTACTGGAGGTTGATTTTAAAATCCAATTTGTGATCATTTTTATTTTCAATTTTTTTTTTTTTTTTGAAAATGTAATCATAAATTAGTCAATTCTTGCTGTAGCTTTCTCTCTTTCAAAAAAATAATAAAATCAGATTTTACTTCAAAATGTCAATGTGTTTTCTCGTAAAGTTATTTTTTAACACCAAAATGACTATTACTCTTACCATAAAGTGTACCTTTAAGTTAAAAATAATACCCTCAAGCTTATATGAATTAATGTGAAAACAACTTAACATGATGTATTATAATAAAACTACCATTTCCAAAATAATGTCTCTATTTTGCCTCTTAATAAGTCATGAAAAGATCCCTTAAGGTGAGTTATCGGGTGACATACCACACATGTCTAAAAAGTCAAGTATTTTTAACAGCTCCATTTGATTTCTAAAAAACTATTTTGTATTTTTAGGCTCCATTCAGGCAGATACTAATTTGGTATTGGCAAATGCTGTGCATTTTAAATGTGGCTGGAAAAATGAATTCAGCGACACACAAGATGAGCCTTTCTTTTTAACCCCGGAAAACCAAGTTAATGTAAAGATGATGAGTCTCAGGAAAGACTTGCTTTATTATCATGATGGTGATTTGAAATATGCTGCATTAGAATTACCATATAAAGTAAGTATTTCTAAGTTTGAATGTATTGTACAAGATTATACAATAATTTTTAATTTCCTTGTAGAATTTTTTTTTTAAAATGATTATTTTGTTGCCCGACGCTAAAGATGGTTTAAAAGACCTGGAGAGTAATTTGCATAAAATCAAATTACATGAGCTTTCAAACAAAATGACTACATATAATGTTAATGTAAAGTTGCCGCGATTCAAACTTGAACAAACGTTTGACCTCATACCCGTATTAACTGAAGTAAGATATTTTTTGTGCAACTCCTGGCGTTAAGATTAATTGTTATGTATAATCAGTTGTTTATATATGTATTATGTTATAAAATATATTACAGCTCGGGTGTACATCAATGTTCTCGCAGAGTGCAAATTTTTCTGAAATTTATGAATCGACTTCTGACTCTTTGTATGTGAGCAAAGTTATCCACAAGGCTTATATTGACCTAGATGAGAAAGGAACTGAAGCAGCAGCTGCTACAGGTAAATGAGTTGTGATGAAACAACATTAAAAAAAAAAATTTTTTTTAATTTTTCCCCAGTTTTGGGGCGAAGGAATTCACTTTATCAACTTATGTCCCATAAATGTACTATTTGCATACCATTTTGGATACATAGAGATTAAAGGTGCCACTTGAGTAAATTGGTAGAGAGGAAATAAGATATTGTGTTTACAAACACACATAAAAAAAATAACACATCATTGTAGAAGTAATACTTTCTCAACCTGCATAGTAGCTGAAATAATAAAGTGATTGACCCATGGCCTTAAAAATGTCCAATGATTATACAATTTTAAAGGTCTATAGCCTCAGTCACATAAACATTCATGATTTACAAACTGTTAAATATTTATTGATTTCTTGAAACAAATTTAATGGCCTGGAATTAGTTCATAAAATGTCATAATTATTTTTAAAAACCATGGTTCTGTAGATTTGTTTTGTGTATCCATAAGTACATGGGTCCAGTTTTCATTTATTTTATCATTAATTTTAATATTTAATTAAATTTTCAGTTTTAATTCTTAATTAATTAATTTATATATACTGATAACAGGCAAATACCTAATAAAAAAAAAAGTACATTACATTCTCTAATTATATGTATAGTAATAACAAAAAAGTGACTTACACTCAGTAAAAAAACAAATTATAGTAAAAATAATTGTTATGGTTTTTTTTTTTTACTTCAATAAAAGTTTTAATAATAAAATAAAATAAACTTCCATTTAAAACAAAAAGAAGAACCCATCATTATAAAATTAGTGTCTTCTCTGCCGTGCATCAAAGCTAAATTAATTTTAGCGACAGGATATTTAAATCAGACAAATTATTTAGTATACCTATTAAAAATGGTGATTCAAGTGTGTCACAGTGGTGCAAGGATACAAACTTAGTACTACAAGTATTGGATTTGATTCCTGCACATTATAAAAAAAGGAATGTTGCCCATTTCTTGACACAAACGCTGTTTATTTGAAGACTGGTTCACTGGTACGGTATATATATAATATGAACATTTTGTTTTGCAAAACATTTTTATTATATTGATATCATACCTATTGCTTACCTTTAATTCTGTTTTAATTTACCAAACTATTTATACCATTTATATTTATTATATAAATAATAAACAAATCGAGAAAAAAAAATTGATCTGTAATAGTTTGAAGCAATTCATTCTTTCACAGAACACATTCGCATAGTCTATTTTTCCAGAGTAAAAAAAAAATGGTTTAAATTCTATGGTGTAATATATTTTATTTAATTAATTTTCTTTATATTAGTTCTAAATAATGTTTAGATAAGCCCTAATAGTAAATTATTGATCATTGATATTTATTTGAGTTTTTTTTATATGGTTTTATTAATTTGTATTGTTGTTAACTCGGATGTAATACATAATGATTTGTAACGCTTGTTGTTTGTATTAGCTCAAAATATGAAAAAGCTAACATAAAAAACATAAATATAATTTTTATAATTATATACATGTAAGAATATTTAGAATATTTTATTTTAAAATAAGAAAATTCTTGTAGTTTAATGGAGTTGACAGAGAGAAACTATGACGATGTTATATTTACTTTAGAAACAGTTGCATATCCATGTAATAATATATATTACCTAACCAAACCCTTTACCTTATAAGAGGTGAAAACTTTTGTTATATTTCACTTCTTTTAGCGTAGTTCTGGGACTTGAGGTTTGAAAATTATTAAGCTGAAGTTAAATTTAATAAGTTTTATAAAATTTATAAATGGCTTTTATAGTAACAAAAAAAAATTATTCAAATTAAACATAATACATTGAAGCTTATACCAATTAACAGATAAATTAATTGACCTGTCGATATTTTTTAAAACTTATTTTTGCTTAAATATTGCCTATATAAAACTCCTTAAAACAGACCGTGTGCAATCCTCTTAACAAAAGTTAATGTCCGTTTATAGTTTATTACGAACTTAATATTTATGAGTAGATTATTAACTGAAAGATTTTTAAAATAACATAATTTTGTCTTTGTCTAATATGTATAAAAATTCACAAATGATTCATCATGTGTTCTATAGGAATGCAGTTACAATCTAACAGTATTAGTTTTATAAGGGATGTGCCATTTGTATCTTTTAAAGCAAATCGACCTTTCATATTTGTGATAGAAACCAAATCGCATATTCCGTTGTTTGTTGGCAAAGTAAAAAATATGCCTTAAAGTTTTAACTGGTGTGAGTATAAGACGTAATAATTTTTTTTAATATTAAAATGCCTTATTTGTAATACTAACCAAATGATTATATTAAACGTAATTAATATTTTTAAACTAATATCTTTAATCACTTGTTTAAAAGTGTAAAACAGTTAAAACGAAATAATTGTAGCCGATTTTTTTAAACAATGGATTATTGGAATGTAAAGTATTTTGTTTTAAAGAAATAATTTAAAAGAATAATAATCAATATTTATTATTTTTTAGTTAATGATATGGTACGCAAGCCCGAAAATGACACTTCATGTTAAATAAAAAATAGAAGACAATTAGAGTAGGAACACAAATTTAAATAATAGAAACCCAACCGAGTAGTAAATAAATTCAATGGTCAAGAATAGTTGAACGAAGTGGATGGATAATGGGAGAATTTTGTCTGTGAATGTTAGGAGGGAAATGTGGAATCTAAAACTGTAGTGAAAAACAAGATCAGTTTCACCAGTCTTGGTTATAAGTAGTTAAATACCATAGTATTATATTAGCTTTGTGTTAAAATTTGGCGTTTAATGAAATAAACGGTTTGACGTTACAAGATATAACTGATTGTTTAAGATATAATGAAACAATAACATTTACACCAACTATATAGCAGTGTGGTTAACATGTGTGCTAAATATGTATGTATTTTTTATTTGATACAAGGAAATTATTTTTATTTGTTTAATTGCTTGCAATCATATAAAAATCAACCGGTCTTTAGATGTTTTTCAAAAAAGTATTTAAGAAATTACAAATAACAATTTGAATATATTTCAATTTGTAATTTACTTTATGGCCTATAGCATTGTTGTAATAATTATTCACGTTACATATCTCTTCTGTTACCACCTATGAGATGATGCATTTATTATAACATTTTACGACATTTCAAAAATTACACCATTATATAATATGTCATGTTTTTTTTTTATGTTAAGGTATTGGATTTGCGCTACTGAGTGCTCATGTAAAGCACAGGGAAAATGCTGTTTTTATTGCTGATCATCCTTTTATTTTTGCAATTATTACAAATGAAGGCGATGTCATATTCATGGGCCGTCTTAAAAAACCTTAATCATTATTCGTTTGTTGTTTATATAATTGTATTATGAAATATTTATTATTCAATTGTTTTTGTTAAAATATTTTATTGTCCAAACTTATGTTATTTACTATTGTGCACCAAATTTATTTTATATGTCGCCCATAGATACATGTATCTATTTATATATTATAATTATAAGTATTAAAACTATTCAATACGTAATAATACAAACCAATTTTTAATCCTAATGCTGATATTTTGTTTTTTGAAACTGCCTTGCTCACAATGAATTTGATTAAAAAAAAAAAAACACTGACTAATGTCACAAAATACTAATTATTTTTAATATAATAGCTATTATTTTATATTTAAAAATATACTGGCTGAGGTAGAAGAGCCGCCATTAATTTGCTGATTGTTCGACTCGGCTTACATGGATATAAGAAACATACATCAACCTCAGAAACTTAAGAAATAAGTATCATAATATTTTACAAACTTTTTTCTTTTTATTTCTGTGTATCAATTGTTAATAGTTTAATGGTTAGCTTGTTTATTTTATGTAAGTTACCTATAAAGGTGTGTTTATTGAATAAAGGAATGATGATGGGAGATCTGCGAAGGGAACAAATTATTAATGATATTTTTACGATTTTGTTTTATATATTTTTTTTTTAACACCAATTGTCTAAAGCGTAAAATGCTTATAATTATGTATTATCACAAATGTTTTAAATTTTAGTAAATTTACTTAGTCATAAGACATATATTACATTTTTATTAAGACAACATGTACACATTACATACAAGGTGCACATAATCATCGTCTTTAATTGAAACGTGTGATTTGATTAAAAATTTAATATTTATTGTTGTATGCAGAAATTCTAAAATAGTAGGTATGTTTGATCGAAAATATTGTCAATTTATGATTTATTATATGCTTCGATTATTAGTGTGTAGGTAAGAAAAATTAAGATAGATTAAAATTATAAAATATAGATTGAGAATACAAGCAATATTGTAATAAGTATGCATAGTCACAAAAAAAAAAACACATTTTTAATTAGACAATAAGTATAAATTACAAATAAGTTTTACACAACCATTGTCTGTAATTTGCAGGCGGAGTCTTATTAAAAATGTAATATATTTTGTTTTATTCAAATAATATAGCCGTTTGAAAAAATATTATACTACAACACGTGTGTGAGCAAATCCTAAAATAGTATGTCTGAATTGAGAATATCAATTTATGATTTATCATACATTTTTTAAGTGTTTATAATAAGTGCACACAAAAAGTCAGAAAAACTAAATTGTTGGGCAATGATTTTCTACATTAAAAATTTCTTTTTTTAATGTATTTTAAATAAGTAATAGAAATTCGTTCTTTATTAATTTGATTTCGGACTGGCGTATGTACAAATGAGTTAAAAAAATGGATGGAGTCATCATTGTAGTTATTAGATAATAAATCATACATGTTAATAGTCATTATGTGTAATGATTTTAATTCTGTAATTAAAAATGTCAGATTTGTTTTATGTACATTTAAAGAAAGCCGTTGAAAATATATATATATACTAAAAACATTGTACTGATAAAAAATACTTGTTTGGAAAATCAATAATGTCTCTGCATGCTTCATATCAAATAAAACAAACGATATGTCATTTTGTTATAATTAAAATTTACTGATAGACTTATACCACTGTGTAAACTTTCAATATATTTATTATTTACATTTTTTTTAATTTAATTCACTATAAAACCGGTAGTTTTTGCAAGAACAAATTATTAATTTTGTTCATGAGTTAAACTTCAGTTCATCATAAATAAAATGAAAAAAATGTTCTATATTTTGTTAATATCAATTTTCATAGCTGCTAATCCTGTACTAGGTGCACAACCAGTTGAACCACAGGAGCAAGAGAGCGACGGGGAACAGGAGTTTGGCCTAATCCTAACCGAGGACAAGGTAATTGTTTTATTTTTTCTTAGACAATAATACTTGATTTATTATACTTATTTATTGGAATTAGACGAAGTTCAACTGATGTAATGACTTTAAATCGTATTATTTTCATCGATTGACAGGATTTTGTTATATTGTTGCTGATGTACTGGTAGTATAGCATTTGCCCTTTAATAACATATGAATTAAAAAAAAAAAAACAATTTCGTCTAAACAAAATTATTCATAAATAAAAACTATACTTTTATTTATTATTTATGAATAACAAAATACTTTTTTTTCCTAAAAAAAAATAATATAAAAATATTTAATTTAGTTATTTGAAAAATTGATCATGGTTCAAAAATGTATTAAATCGAGCTTAAATTAATAAATTACCTATGGAATATCAGTTAATTTTTTATTTATACATTTTTTTTTTATTATACATTTATTTAAATAAAAACTCATTCAAAAAATGCCGATTTTTGTAATACGTGATGCGTTGTTTGTTTACCGTTTGTTTTATATTATTCTCAAGCCAATACTCTTTTAAATTTTATAAGAAAATTTTTATGTAAAAAAAATGGAGTATAGGTAGTCTTATTTTTATCTGCATTCATTACTCTACCATAAGCCATCATCCGTCTTAAATTTTAAACTTCAGTAACTTTATAAGTAACTATCCAAAACTGGTTATCAACAAGTAAAAATGTTCAGCAAATCATTTTTTAAAAAGTTAATTAAATGTATAGTGTACACGTTACCTTTAAAGTTATAAAATTTCATAGACCTTTGAAATTTTTTTTTTATTATTGTCTACAACCGTAAAATAAAATAAACTAAAGATTCACTTTAAAAAAAACTACAAAATTATCTTAAGAGAAAATTTGTCTCGCCCTTAACAAGTCATTCTGTATAATAATGTTAGTAAATACAAATGTTTAGATTCTAAATGATACTTATACATGGGCGAGGAAACATGTACGAGAAAATCAAGATAGTGATTTTACATTTGAAGATTTGTATAAGTTTATAAGTGCTACTGATCGACATTTAAAAATAGCAAACGAGTACTTCACGCAGAATCCAGAAAAAAAGCCAGTCCAATGTAACCATTAATTATTCACTATTTATCATTTAATAATAATTTTATAGTTATTAAATAATATACATTGTAGTACTTATAAAAAATTAAAATATTTTTATATTATTATTTTTTCCCTATTCATGATAAATATTTATCATAAAATAAGCTAATAATATTATATTTTTACGAAAGTATAGGGTTCTAAACTTAAAGTTTAAAAACTTTATAACATTTATTTTGGATTTACTAATGGAAGCTACTTGAAGTTGGTCCATAAAATTAAGTTATTATGTTTTCAAGCATTAAAATTAAAAATCCTCATTTTAAAACTAATACAACTTTTCCAACTTAGTATTGAAACATAAATGTGCACAAAACATTCTTAAATTTTGACTATTTAAATATTTTTTATAAGTTAGCGTTAATTTTATTAAAATTTTAAGATTATCTTCAGTGTTCCGGAAAATAAAAAAATGACAAAAAAAACACAACTTTATCATATACCTTAAGTTGTGTACAGTTGTATCATGTAACATACTATTTTAAAAAACCATGATTAAGTATAGCTTATGAAAGTCAAAATTTGAGTATGACAAATACTTCTGTTGGGAAAAATAAAAACTTATTACATTTTGAAAAACTTAAAAATAATTACATCCAATAAAATTGAATTTGGGTTATATATTTGAAATAGTCATGATATGTGTAGGATAGTTTTTTTTAGCCCACACAAAAATAATCCAAGTCTTCTAGCCTAATTTTTTCTTCAAATTTTAATAATTTAAACACAAATTATTCTACTTATTTTTTTATCTTATAATACAAATATCGTAAAATATTATATTATTATATTGCAATCATTAAAGTTGTTGTTATTATTTACTCTGATCGGCACACAAGACGAAGAAAAGTCATGCACAATATGTGATAATTGATGTAAAGTTAAGATAAATGAGCTGTGCTACAGCTGTTTATATTCTAACAACTTATCTTATCTATTGATTATTTATTAATAAATAAAATACATTTTTTTTATTGTTGTAGACAATATAGATGTTGATCAATTCAAGACACTTATCAGATTATTTAGCATTGAGGCTTATATGGCTCCAGTACTTTTTGTTTGTCAATTAATAACAGAACTCAACAAAAAACTAGGTAGGTATTGTTTTTTAAGCAATCCAGGAATACGCTAATAAAATCTATTGTAGTATCTAATAATTTCTAAATTATAATAAAATGAAGCAATTATTCATGTTAAGTACTTTCTTCCATTTATATATAATCATTTTAATTTGTATTCGATAAATACAAAAATAAGTAAACAAATTCCGTTTGTAAAGTAGACAAATGTTAAATTTTAGCAGAATATAATTAAATGTTTTGAAAATAAAAAAATAATGAAATTTATTTATTTGAACTTGAGTATAATGACTAAAAAGGGTAATGAATACAGTACAAATAACTTGTGTAATGTGATGAATGACAGAGAATATTTGTGTGCCTATTAAAATTGAATTGCATTGGAACTGGAAAGAGTCCAGTAAGATTCACTTATGAAAAACTATTTACACTCGGTAGCTTACGCAGGGAATCTTTAGTCAGTCATTGAAGACAATCATAGAATATACAGTATAGCACCTACTGATATCTGAATTATAATACAATTAAGCGACTTATTTGAGTTTACTACTTTCATCAGTTTACACGCAGTTATTCAAAAAATGTTTTTAAAAGTTATAAAAAATACAATTCTTCTACTGTGTATTTATAATTTCCAAATGTTTATTTTTCAAATAAATAATTAAATTTATTTTAATGTATTAAAAAT